CCACACAACACCAGAACTAATTCATCTTAACTTACATCTTAATGACCTCTACAAAGACTCCATTTTCAAATAAGACTACGTTCAGAGGTGCCAAGGTTTAGGACCTCAAGATGTCTTTAGAGGTGACACAATTCAGCTCACAATGTCACCTCCACCCTTCCTTTGGGTTCCCCAGCAGCCCCAGTCTGGTGATCTAATCTTACCCAAACCTGCATTCTATGTCACCTAGAAGTGAATGAGTGTGAAGACCTCACCACGTGCCCGACCCACGCAGGCTGCGTCAACACCAAGGACAGTTACTATTGCACTTGCAGACAAGGCTACCAGTCCAGCAATGGACAAAATCACTTCAAGGGTCCAGGAGTGGTATGTGAAGGTGAGCTCACGGCCTTTCTAAACCCGTCAATGTTTGGTAGGAAGCTGATTGGGAGTGGATGTAGGTACTTGCCTTTTTTCCATCATGACAGTTCTTCCCTCTTCCCTTTCCTCCTCTCTCCTTCCTTCCACTCTCCTCTGCTTACCTCCTTCCTCTTTCCTTGCCTCCATTCTCTTTTATTTCCCTTTATTTCCCTTCTCTCCCCTCCCATACACTCTCCTCTCCTCTCCTTCCTTTCCATTCTCTTCCTTTTCTCTTCTCTTTTTCTCTTTTCTTATATTTCTCTTCTCTTCATTCTTCTTTCCTTCCTTCCTTCTTTCCTTTTTCTCTCTGTATTTCTTAAAAAAATCCTTGGTCACTGAGAAGTTCATGGATAGTTGGGCTTCCTCACAATATGGTGGCTGGCTTCCAAGAATGAGCATCTCCAAAGAACCAGGTGGAAGTCTATGACCTTTATGACCTAGCATCACTTCCACTGTGGCCAGAGCATGCTCAGATTCCAGGGGAGGGAGCACAGAGCCCCCTGCTTTAAGGGAGAAGTGACAAAGTCACATTGGATGAAGAACTTATGGGATGGGTGATAGTGTTTCATCCATCTTTGGAAAATGGAATCTGTTCCCGACAATGGGACAAATTGGTGACTCCAACTCTTTCTTGGTCCAGATATTGATGAATGTTCTGAAAGTCCCTCGCCCTGTGGTCCTAACTCAGAGTGCACGAACATGAGGGGGAGGTACCAGTGCAGCTGTTTTCCTGGATTCTCTTCTCCCACTGGAAATAACTGGAACCCGGGAAAGCCAGGGCATTTCGCCTGTACAGGTAACACTCAGCTTTCAGGCACGGGTCTTTGGTGGACATCCCATTGGGTCAAATGTTTCTAAACTTAGACATGCAATCTCTTATCTGTTTACTGAGTTTCTAAAGAGCTCTGGGAAAATGATTCTCTTTGTTCCTCTGGGCTTTTTGACAATCTCGTTTTTTGCAGATATTGACGAGTGCTTGCAAGATCCAGCTCGGTGTGGTCCTCGTTCTGTCTGCACCAATACCATGGGCTCCTACAATTGTAGCTGCATAGAAGGCTTTGGCCCTGATACAGAAGTCTTCCAGAAATATGGCACCATCAGCTGCAAAAGTAATCATCTCCATGTGTGTCTTGGTGATGAAATCTGTTTTGATTTGGTTGTGAAATTCTTACTCTATCCAACTTCTGGATCCCCCTTTTACTTTCACCTTGTCCATATCTCCCCTCTTCTTTTGATTTTAGTGGCCAAAAGGTGCATATGCTCACAAGAGAGAGGGAGAGAGACAAAAGAGCTTTCTCTTCCATTTCTCCATCCTGTTGTATTTTGGACATGCCTACACACATGTCTGGTGTGTTTTTCAAGCCGCCAAGGCTGGAAGTTGAACTGCAGTCACTCATGTGGTATCCAGCTATCTTAACCACTTGTCTATGGGGCTGGTCTTCTCGTTTTTGTTCCTCTTTGTTTAGTTATTGCTATAGGTCATGTATGCTCATCAGAGAGAGAGAGAGAGAGAGAGACAGAGAGAGACAGAGAGAGATACAGAGTGAGAGAGACAAAGAAAGAGACAGAACAAAGACAGAGTTAAAGTGAGAAATCACCCTAAAGATGAGTTGACTGTGCCACAGTCCCTTCTCCTCTATGTTCTTGGGATTTCAGGCATGCATGTATATGTGTCTGATGTGATTTTCAAGCCAGTGGGTCAGGACTCGAACCTTGGTTGGTCATTTGGAAGTTTAGTGCCTCAACCACCGTGAAGCCTGCTGGCCCATGCTCCTTTTCTCGGGGCATGAGCCAAAGTTGCACATGCCTTTATTTCCATTCTCAGTGGCCATAATTCAGCCCCATGACTACAACTAGCTGCAAGAGAAGCTCAGAACACACCTGGATGATTGTAGTATTAAAAAGATGAGGAGCACATGCGTCTGAGGAACAGCTGCCATTCTTTGCTTTGACTTTGCTGGTAGAGCTTGAAACTAGGTCTACCTGGTTCCATGATACCTGCTTTCACTTAGGCTCACACTCCTGTGTTGATGGTGTCATCCTTGGACAGTGGCATCATAGTAATGATGGGTCTTGTTAGGGATGCAGAATCTCAGACCCACATCCCCAGACCTTCTCAACGTGATGCAATTTACTAGGTTCAGAAATCTAAGGTGTGGTTGATGGTAATGGTCCATGGACCACTCTTGGAGCAGTAAGGATTTAGCATCTTCAGTGAACTTCACTGGGACCAGCAGTGGTGTAATGGTTACGTTGCTGGACTACCACATAGTTGACCATGGTTCGAGTCCTGAACTGGGCAGCTTGAACCTACCACGTGCATGTGTGTGCATGCCAAGATTCCAAGAAGAGACTGGAGGAGAAGGCATTGTGAGGTGGCCATACTCTTACCCAGGTGGGTAATTTCTCGCTTTCTGTTTCTCTGTCTCTCTCTGTCTCTCCAGCAACTCCACATACCCTATAGTAAAAATCTGTCTCTGAAAAAAAAAAAAAAAGAAAGAAAGAAAAAAGAGAAAGTAGACAAAATACCTTTTTAAACATGGCTGGTGCCTACACCAGGTTCCTAGGGCAGTTATAACAGATGAACACAACCTGGGTGGCTTAAAACAACAGAAACGAATTGCTTCACACTTCTGGAGGATGGAAGTCTGAAAGCAAGGCATCATCAGGGCCATTTGCTCTCTGAAATCTGTAATGTAGACTCTGTTCCAGGTCTCTTTTCTGTAGTGCGCTGTTGGCACACATCCTTGTTTTCACAAGGCATTATCTTTTTTAAAATTATTATTATTACTACTATATTTTTGCCATAGGGCATGTGTGCTCACTGCAGAAGACAGAGACAGAGGGAAAGTGAGAAATCACACCCCAGAGGGGATGGCCTCCCTGTAATCTCTTCTCCTCTATTCTCTTCTTGGGACTGTGGGCATGCACTCACAAGCATCTGGTGTGTTTTTCGTCACAGAGTGGGGACTCACACCATGGAGACAGCTACGTGGGATCCAGCATCTTAACCACCACGCCACTTGCTGGCCTCACAAGTCATGCTCTTTGTGCCTCTCTCTCTGCCTCGTCTTATAAAGACACCAGCTACACCAGATTAGGTGCCCACTCAACTCCAGCACTTCATGGTACCTTACATCTAACTACATCTACAAAGACTCTGTTCCCAAATGAGATTGCATTCAGAGCTGCCAGGGTTTAGGTCATCAAGATATCTTTAGAGGTGACACAATTCAGCTCACAACGTCACCTCCACCCTTCCCTTTGGGTTTCCCAGCAGCCCCAGTCTGGTGATTTAATCTTGTCCAATTCTACATTCTATGTCGCAGCCCCAGTCTGGTGATTTAATCTTGTCCAACACTGCGTTCTATGTCACCTAGATGTGAATGAGTGTGAAGACCTCTCCACGTGCCCGACCCATGCAGGCTGCGTCGACACCACGGGCAGTTACTATTGCACTTGCAGACAAGGCTACCAGTCCAGCAACAGACAAAGGCACTTCAAGGGGCCAGGAGTGATATGTGAAGGTGAGCTCACAGTCCTTCCTAGGGAAACCAGGTGGAAGCTGATTGGGAGTGGACGTAGGTAATTTCCTTTTTTCCAATCATGACTCTCCTTCCCTCTTCTCTTTCCCCTTCTCCCCTTCCTTTCCCCCTCCTCCCCTTATCTCCCTCCTCTCCTCTTTCCTCCCTTTTGCTTTCCCTTCCCTATACACATATGCATGCATATCCTAAATCTTAAGAGGAGAATAAAAGAGAAGGGACAGTGGCAGGTTCATTCACTCTCGAGGGTGATTTCTCACTTTAACTCTCTATCTCCATTCTGACTCTCCCTGTCTCTCTCCTTGGTGAACATAAACACCCAATCTCTCTCTATCTCTCCTCCCCTCCCCTCTCCTCTCTTTTCCTTCCCTCCTCTTTAGTTTTCTTCTCTTTTTCTTTTTCCTTACCCTTTTTTCTCTTCCTTCTCCTTCTTTCCTCCCTCCCTCCATTCCTTCCTTTCTTTTTCTCTCTGTATTTCTTGAAAAGAATTCCTGGTCACTGAGAAGGTCATGGATGGTTGGGCTTCCTCACAATATGGTGGCTGGCTTCCAAGAATAAGCATCTCCAAAGAACCACGTGGAAGTCTATGGCCTTTACAACCTAGCATCACTTCCACCGTGGTCACGAGCATGCTCAGATTCCAGGGGAGGGAGAACAGAGCAGCCTGCTTCATGGGAGGATTGCCAAAGTCACATTGGATGAAGACCTTATGGGATGGGCAATAGCAGTTCAATCATCTTTGAAAAATGGAATCTTTCCCCTCAATGGGGCAAATTGGTGACTCCAACACTTTCTCATTCCATTATTGATGAATGTTCTGAAAGCCCCTCACTTTGTGGTCTTAACTCAAAGTGCATACACATACGAGGGAGGTACAGGTGCAGCTGTTTTCCTGGTTTCTCCTCTCCCACTGGGAATGATTGGAACCTGGGAATTCTAGGCCATTTTTCCTATATGGGTAACACTCTGCTCTCAGGCGTGGATCGTTGGAGGACATCTCATTGGGTTGAGCGTTTCTAAACTTAGACATGTAATCTCTTGTCTTTTTACTGACGTTCACAGACCAAGAAGGGCAGAGTAGAGGTAGGCAAAGTATTTGCTAGACAGACCTTGGAAAATGGTTCTCTTTGTTCCTCCGGGTTTTTTTTTACATTCTCATTTTTTGCAGATATTGACGAGTGCTTGCAAGATCCTTCTCGATGCGGTCCAAATTCTGTCTGCACCAATACCATGGGCTCCTACAATTGTAGCTGCATAGAAGGCTTTCGCCCCGATCCAGAATTCTCCCAGAGATATGGCAACGTCAGCTGCAAAAGTAATAAGCTCCATGTGTGTGTCTTGTGATGAAATCTATGTCTTGATTTGGTTGTGAAATTCTTACCGTACCTAACGTCTGGATTCTCCTTTTACCCTCCCCTTGTCCCATCTTCCTCTTCTTTTTATTTTAATTCCCAAAAGGTACATATGCTCACCAGAAACAAAGAGAGAGACAGAGACAGGGAGGGAGATAACAGCCACTAGTGATGTGTGATCAAGTCACATCCCATCTCTTCCATTTCTCCATGCAGTTGGGATCTGGGGCAATCATACTCACATGTCTGGTGTGTGTTGCAAGCCACCAAGGCTGGAATTTGAATGGCAGTCAGCCATTTGGTATCCAGCTATCTTACCCCTTGTCTATGGGGCTGGTCTTCTTGTTTTTGTTCTTTCTTGTTTAGTTTTTGCTGTAGGGTGTTTACGCTCACTAGAGAGAGAGAGATTGAGAGAGACAGAACGGAGACAGAGAGAGTTAAAGTGAGAAATCCCCCTCAAGAGTGAATGACCATGCCACTGTCCCTTCTCCTTTATTCTCCTCTTGGGATTTAGGACATGCATGCATATGTGCCTGGTGTGATTTTCAAGCCAGTGGGTCAGGACTCGAACCTTGGTTGGCCATGTGTGAGTTTAGTGTGTCAATCACCATGCTGACTAATGGCCCATATTCCTCCTTTTCTCAGAGCATGAGCCAAAGTTGCACACGCCTTTATTTCCATTCTAATTGGCCTTAATTGAACCCCATGACTACAACTAGCTGCAAGAGAAGCCCAGAACGCACCTGGATGGATGTAGTATTAAAAAGATGAGGAGCACATGGGTCTGAGGAACAGCTGCCATTCTTTGCTTTGACTTTGCTGATAGAGCTTGAAACTAGGTCTACCTGGTTCCATGATACTTGCTTTCACTTAGACTCACACTCCTGTGTTGATGGTGTTGTCCTTGGACAGTAGCATCGTTACTGTCCAGGGCCTTGTTAGAGATGCAGAATCTCAGGTCCACCTCCCCGGACCTTCTCAGCGGGATGTGATTTCTCAAGATCCAGGAATCCAAGGTGTAGTAGATGGTAATGACCCATGGACCACTCCTCGAGCTGCAAGGGCTTAGAGTCTTCAAAGTATTTAATTGGGACCAGCAGATGATGTAATGGTTATATATCTGGACATTGTCAACCATGGTACAAGTCCTCGATTTGGTAGCTTGAAACACACCGGGTGTGTGTGCGTGCATGCACACCCCAAATCAAGAGAATAGAGCAGAAGAGATTACAACGTGGCATTCCCCTCTGGGGTGTGATTTCTCACTTTCCCTCATTTTTGTCTCTCTCTAGCAAGCACACATGTCCTATGGGAAAAAATAGATAATGCCTTATGACAGCAAGGATGTGTACCAACACCACACTACAGGGAAGAGACCTGGAACAGAGTCTACACTACAGCTTTCAGAGAGCACATGTCCCTGATGATGCCTTGCTTTCAGGCTTCCATCCTCCAGAACTGTGAAGCAATTCGCTTCTGTAGTTTTAAGCTACCCAGGATGTGTTCATCTGTTATAGCCGCCCTAGGAACCCGGTGTAGCCACCAGCCATGTTTAATAAAGTATCTGTTTTCTTTTTCTTTTTCTTTTCCTTTTTCTTTCTCTTCCTTTTCTAGAGAGAGATTTTTTATTATAGGGTACATGCACTCACCAGAGAGACAGAGAGAAAGACAGAGAGACAGGAAGCGAGAAATCACGCCCTAGAATGGGGGCATGGTCATGTTGCAATCCCTTGTTCTCTATTCACTTCTTGGGATCTTGGCATGCACTGATGTATTTTTCAAGTCACTGGGTGGGGACTCAAACCATGGAGACAGCCATGTGGGATCCGGTGCCTTAAACACCGCACCACTTGCTGGTCTCACAAGTCATGCTCTTTGTGCCTCTCTGCCTTGTCTTATAAAGACACCAGCTACACCAGATCAAGTGCCCAGTCAACTCCAGTACTTCATGGTACCTTACATCTAACTTCCTCTACAAAGACTCTGTTTCCAAATGAGATTGCATTCAGAGCTGCCAGGGTTTAGGTCATCGAGAGGTGACACAATTCAGCTCACAACGTCACCTCCACCCTTCCCTTTGGGTTTCCCAGCAGCCCCAGTCTGGTGATCTAATCTTGTCCAACCCTGCATTCTATGTCGTCTAGATGTGAATGAGTGTGAAGACCTCTCCACGTGCCCGACCCATGCAGGCTGCGTCGACACCACGGGCAGTTACTATTGCACTTGCAGACAAGGCTACAAGTCCAGCAACGGACAAAGGCACTTCAAGGGGCCAGGAGTGGTATGTGAAGGTGAGCTTATGGCCCTTCCAAACCCTCCAGCATTTGGTAGGAAAACCAGGTGGAAGCTTATTGGGAGTGGGTGTAGATAATTCCCTTTTTCCATCATGACTCTCCTTTCCTCTTCTCTTTCCCCTTCTCTCCTTCCTTTTCTTCTCCTCCCCTTACCTCCCTCTTCTCCCCTTGCTTCCCTTTTGTTTTCCCTTCTCTTGCTTTCCCTCCCTTCCCTCTCCTTTTCTTTCCTTTCCTTCCCTCTCTTCCCATCATGCCTACACACATCTAGAGTAATTTTCTTTCCCTTCCCTTCTCTTCCTTTCTTTTCTTCTCCTTTTCTCTTTCCTTATCTTTTTTCTTCTTCCTTCTCCTTCTTTCCTCCCTCCCTTCCTTTCTCCTTTCCTTTTTCTCTCTGAATTTCTTGAACAGAATCCTTGGTCACTGAGAAGTTCATGGATGGTTGGGCTTCCTCATAATATGGTGGCTGGCTTCCAAGAATGAGCATCTCCAAATAACTAGGTGGAAGTCTATGACCTTTACAACCTAGCATCACTTCCACTGTGGTCACGAGCATGCTCAGATTTGGGAACACAGAACCCACCAACTGATGGGAGGAGTGCCCAAATCACATTGGATGAAGGACTTATGGGATGGGCAATAGTGTTTCAACCATCTTTTGAAAATGTAACCTGTCCCCCCACAATGGGGCAAATTGGTGACTCCAACTCTTTCTTGGTCCAGATATCGATGAATGTTCTGAAAACCCCTCGCCTTGTGGTCCTAACTCAGAGTGCATGAACATGCGAGGGAGGTACCGGTGCGACTGTTTTCCTGGTTTCTCTTCTCCCACTGGAAATGACTGGAACCCAGGAAAGTCAGGGCATTTCTCCTGCACAGGTAACACCCAGCTCTCAGGCATGAGTCATTGGTGGACATCCCATTGGGTTGAGCATTTCTAAACTTAGACATGTAATCTCTTGTCTGTTTATTGATGTTCACAGACCAAGAAGGGCAGAGTAGAGGTGGGCAAAGGATTTGCTAGACAGCCCTGGGAAGATGTTTCTCTTTGTTCCTCTGGGTTTTTTGACATTCTCATTTTTTTCAGATATTGATGAGTGCTCACAAGATCCATCTCAATGTGGTCCTCATTCTGTCTGCACCAATACCATGGGCTCCTACAATTGTAGCTGCATAGAAGGCTTTCGCCCCGATCCAGAAGTCTCCCAGAGATATGGCAACATCACCTGCAAAAGTAATAATGTGTGTGTGTGTCTTGTGATGAAATCTTTGTCTTTTTTTTTTTAATTCAACAGACATTTATTCTCTCACATATCTTTTTTTTTTCTTTTGAGAGGTTTTTGCTATAGGGCACGTGTGCTCTCCAGAAAGACAGAGAGAGAGACAGAGAGACAGAAAGTGAGAAATCACCCCCAGGGGGGATGGCCATGCCTCAATTCCTTCTCCTCCATTCTCCTCTCGGGATCCTGGGCACACACACACACGCCCGGCATGAGTTTAAGCCACTGGGTCCAGGGCTTGAACCACGATCTTGAACCACTACATGGGAGTCCAGTGACATAGCCATGACGCCATCTGCTGGTTCCCTTCTCACATATCTCAAAGTCATAATTCCTAAGTCAAGGTGTTCGGATGGTATGCTCTCTCTTTTTTTAAAATTTAGTTTTTATTTATTTATTTTTAATTAATTAATTAATTTATATATATATATGTTTTTTTTTCTCCTTTTTCTCACCTTATGCCATTTCTCATCCTCCTCCCACACTATCTTAGGTGTCCACGGTTATTTTCCATCCCCCCCCATTTTATTGATTCACAGAATTTCTTAAATACATTCAATAGCAAATTTAGCTAGTATATACTTATCTGTGAATACATGTCTGACTTTGGGTGAGAAATTCTGAGTAGAATGAATATACTATAAGGTAGCACCTAGCTGATGCTATATAGCTTGCTATCGTTGTTAATTAGGGTTTTTTTTTTTTTACTGTATTTTTTAATTTCAAGAAGAGCAGTTTTAGCTTTAATAAATCAAAGAAATGCTAAGAAACTATGCTTCAAACTTAAAGCCAGCAAACAGGTTGGGATTCTGTTCAAATAGTAGGTACATGAACCTATCAGCAGCTCAAGACAGGACAAAAATCCTTAAAACTGGAACCAAGCCTTAGGACGAGCAGTTAGTGTAATGGCTATGTCGCTGGACTTCCGTGTAGTCAACCGCAGTTCACGTCAAGGACCTGGTGGCTTAAAACTCACGCCGGGCACGTGTGAGTGTGTGCCCAAGATCCCGAGAGGAGAATGGAGGAGAAGGGATTGTGGCGTGGACATCCCCCCTGGGGGGTGATTTCTCGCTTTCTGTCTCTCTGTCTCTCTCTGTCTATCTGGCAAGTGCACGTGCCCTATAGCAAAAATCTCTCCAAACAAAACGAAACAAAACTGGACCAGAGCCTAGAAGAAAATCAGCAATATTTTAGTCAAAAGTTATAAAATTTCATTTCACTAGTTTAGTCTCATGTACTTAATCTATCTTCTCTTGTTTGATCTTCCCAATTGAATTCTTGTATATAATGTTCAACTCCAGATTTATCTTTATGATTAAGTTGGTCATCTTCTTAGTTTTTGAACTCTTATTTCTGTGTGTCTGTATTTAGTTTTCCTGGCATTGCACTCCTGCAGAACTTTTTCGAGATTTGGTCTGGTGTTGGTAAATTCTTCCCGTTTTTGTTTACCTGAGAATGTTCTTGTCTTCTCTTCCCATATGAAGGATAGTCTTTCCAGATGTAGTATTCTTGGTTGAAATTGTTTTTCACTCAACACTTTGAATATATTTTCCCATTCTTTCCTCGCTCACATTGTTTCCGAGCAGAGGTCTGCTGTTAGGCTGATGGGATATCCTTTGTAGGTAACTTGTCATTTCTCTCTTGCCGATCTTAGTATCTTGTCTTTGTCTGTGGGTTTGGTCAATCTGGATATAATGTGTCTTGGAGAAGATCTTCTTGGGTTGATTCTATTTGGGGTCCTTTGTATTTCTTAGGACTGGATTTTTGAGTGCCTCTCTAGGTTTGGAAAGTTTTCTTCCAGGAAATCATGGAATAGATTGTTAATGCCCTTATGAGTCTCTTCTCCTTCTGGGATACCATTTTTCTGGATATTTGGATGTTGATGGTATCTAGCATTTCTTGTATATTATTCTCACTTTTGGGGGCAACTTTCTCAGTCTTCATGGTGGATTTTTCTAGGCCAGTGATTCTATCTTTAACATCTCAGATTAGATTTTTCTGGATGATATATTCTGCTTTTAATACTTTCAAGGGAGATTTTGACTTCCCCAGTTATAGCCTTCATCTCTAACAGGTCCATTTGATTCTTTTTACAATGTGAATTTCCTCTTTAAGATCTTGCAAGAATTTCCTCACCTCCTGGAACTCATCAGCTCCTTTCTCCTGCCTCTTTGGCAATTCATTATCTCTCTTCTCTTCAATCTCTGGGACCTTTGTCACTATGAAAATTCGAAATTCTTCATCTGGTATTTCCAAGAACTTCATAATTCTGTCTGAGGATGAAAAGGAGTTATTAATTTCCCTTGGATAAGAGGTATTTTCTTGTTTTCCCATATTTCTGTGACCCTGTGGTGATTTCTAGTCATCTGAATGGTGCATTTCTTCCTAATTCTTGAAGTTCAATCTGAGCGTTCAGAGGCGAGCAGAAAGAGGTGACCTGCAATCTCTCTTCCATTCTGTTTTCACTCTTTGTGCAACAGAATCAGTGGGAATAGAGGAATATTCTGACTCTAATTGTATTCAGATGTTTAGATCCTGTTCACTTGGACCTGTCTAGACACTTAGTGCATAGAGGCCACTAGAAATGAGTGTGGAGGGGGAAGTCTCAGCAGAAAATCTTCATCTTAAGTCCCTGAAAGCAATATTTCACAGCTGAAGTTCAGGATCCATGTGAGCTGAAATCTATGTCTTGATTTGGTTGTGAAAGTCTTATTCTATCCAACCTCTGGACTGCCTTTTTACTTTCATCTGTCCACATCTTCCTTTTTTTAAAAAAAATTTGACAGAATACATATGCTCACCAGAAAGAGACAGAGAGACAGATGGTGTGAATGGAGTAGAGAGAGGGAGAGGAAGAGGGAGAGGAAGCAAGAAAGGTAGAGGGACAAAACACCTCCAACGGAAACGGACATGGTCAGACCACATCCCTTCTCCTCCATTTCTCCATCTTGTGGGGATTTTGGACACGCACACACACATACCTTATGTGTTTTTCAAGCCACCAAGGCTGGTTGCTTTTAAAATTAAAATTAAAATTTTTTTGAAATAATTACTTATTTAATTTTATTTATTATTGCTATTATTTTTATAATTTGCTCTAGGACACATGCATGCACACATGAAAGAGAGAGAAAGAGAGAGAGGAGAGAGAAGGCAAGCTTTCAGGTCTGGAACTCGAACCACAGTTGGCCATGAGAGTATCTAACACTTTAACTACCACACCACTTGCTGGCCCCTGGGGCTGGGATCCACCCTAACTGCTGTCCACCATGTGGTATGCAACTCCTTCAACCTCTTGGCTTTGGGGCAGGTCCTCTTCTTTTTCATTCATTCATTTAATCATTCTTTAATTTGCTCATTGAATACGTTATTTTTGGAGTACCCATTGATTAATGAATTAAGCAGGCTTCTGCACTAGGCCCTCCGGATTTGGTCCTGGATAAGATATGACATCCTCAGGTAACTCGTAGTCTCGGGAAAGAGCCCGAGGACGTGCATACCATTATTTGGTAATAACAATGAGGATTGCAATAATGCAAAACTTGTAGCGTGCTTTGGAGACGTAACACACTCTGAGCAAATGATGCTTAAGCGGGAACTTGAAGGAAGAGTAGGGGTGATCAAGACAAGGGGTGGAGATCTCCGTGTTTCAGACCACAGCAGGTGCAAAGGCTATAAGAGCACACGCTGAATGAGAACAAGAGGGAGTGGCACACGCAGAGTGAGAACAAGAGAAAGTGGATTAGGCGTGTGATGGGGGGGTCTTCAAAGAGTGCTGTGTTTCTCATGTGTTATGAGAAAACTGTGCATGAATTTTAAAGATTTTTTTTTGTACCCAAATAAACTCATGTGCTAATTTAATTTTGCCATCTACTTTCTTTTGTTTTCGTTTTTGAAGGTGTTTGTCATAGGGCATGTGGCTCGCCAGAGAGAGACAGACAAGGACAGAGAGGAAGTGAGAAGTCACTCCCAGGGAGAATGGCCACATCACAATCCCTTCTCCACCATTCTCCTCCTGGGATTTTGTGCACATACACACATCACCTGGCATGAGTTTCAAGTTGCCGGGTCCAGGACTTGAACTATGGTTGGCCTTGTGGGAGTCTAGCACCATAACTACTATGCCACCTGCTAGCCCAACACAAGCATTCTTTTAATCTACTAAAGGGTGTGCGTGTGCATGTTTGTGTGCATGTGCATGCATGAGAGAGAACCCCTCAACTGGGCATGGACATGCCACAATCCCTTCTCCATTCCTCTAGTCTGGAGCATGCACATACATGCAGCTGGAGTGCCTTTTAAGCCACTGGAACTAGAATTTAAACAACAGTCAGTCATGTGGGATCTGACTCTCTTAACCACTGTGCTATGGAGCCAACACTTCATCAACTTTTTCAAAAAGATTTATTTATTTCTGTTTTTTTTTTTTTTTTTTTTTTTTGCTATAGGGGATGTGTGCTCACCCCAGGGGGATTTTGCTATAGGGTGTGTGTGCTCACCCAAGAGAGAGAGAGAGAGACAGAGAGACAGAAAGTGAGAAATTACCCCTCAGCGGGGATGGCCATGTTGCAATCTTTTCTCCTCCATTGTCTTCTTGGGACTTTGGGTACACCGGGTGTGAGTTTTAAGCCACCGGGTCTGAAACTCGAACTGCAGCTGACTACATGGGAGTCCAGCAACATAACCGTTATGCTATCTACCGATCTCCATATTTATTTATTTATTTTTAAAGAGCTTTTTCCTTAGGACACATGCACTCGCTGGAAAGAAAGAGAGACAGAGACAGCGAAAGGGAAAGTTGAGAAATCATCTCCCAGGGGGGTGATTTTCCTGGAATATTACCCTCTGGGGGTGGATTCCCTTCTCCTTCATTTTCCTCTCTGGATTTTGGGCATGCACACACATGCATCTGGTGTTTTTTCAAGTCTTCAGGTCTAGGAGTTGAACCGCAGAGTTGGCCCTGTGGAATCCAATCCCTTAACCACTGTGTCCTGTTTTATCTTCTTCCTAGGGATTCTCTTCAAGTGTAAGGAAGACGTGTTACCCAACAGCGAGCGGATCCAGCAATGCCAACAAGGAGTGGTGGCGCCGCTCGGCTCTGTAAGTCATTTAGAAGGTTCCTACTTCGTGTTTTTTCAGAGGTCACACTTGGGTAGGATGTTCTTGTCATTTTAGCGAAGGCAAAAATCACAGTGGCCTAAACCAGATAGATGTTTGTATTTATTTATGTATGTATGTATGTATGTATGTATGTATCCAAAAGAGAGAAACTCCGTGGTCCCAAGTGGCTGCCAGAAAGCAATTCAATCTGTGGTCGGCCATGAGGGAGTCCAGCGCCCCCTGCTGGCCCTATGTCGCCACCTTCTTACCCCACTATTTCTGATGTTCGTTTCAGTTTGCTTCTTTTATTCTGGCACCAAAAGGTGTTGCGATTCTAGTTCTTACCCAAAGATGAGTTTTTATTTCCCTGAGAATTCTAGAGACTGAGGAACTCAGGGCCACCCAGCTGTGCCAGGGCAGGGTTGGTGATCGAACTTACAGACCATGTGTTTGGGGGGTCTGCCAGCTGGGGCTCACGATGTTCTTTCTTCCTGGCGTAGGGTTCCTTCTGTGACCTAACAAATACCATCTTGGATGTCCTGGATGAGGCCTGTGAAAACAAAACCACCCCGGTTTCTCTGGAGGTAATGGTGATGTCTTCGAAGTTGTGTTTTGAGTTTCACCCCTTCTGGGGACCATTGGGTACAGAAGTCCTCCTCATCACTAGTGAGTGATGAACGAACATTTCATTTATTACAGTTATAATTTTTTTAAAGAATTATTTTATTTAACTTTATTTATTATTATCATTATTATTTTCCAGTTTGATCAGAGAGAGACAGAGAGAGAGAGAGAGGAAGTGAGAAAGCAAGCCACCAAGTCCTAGACTTGAACCATGGTTGGCCATGTGAGAGTCCAGCGCCTTTAACCACCATGCCACTTGCCAGCCCCATACAGTTGTAATATTTTTTAAAAATGTCCACATGGTAAAACTCTCTTTACTAATTGTAGTGCTCTGAGTGTTATCGCCCAAATAGATCTGTAGAATAGATCAACTGGGAGACAGAAAAGAAAAAAAAAGGCTCCCTTCCTCCCTAAATTCCCTTGGGCTTTTCCCTTATCATTATCATTATTATTTTATGGAGAGATTTTTGCTATAGGGTGCATGTGCTTGCCAGAGAGACAAAGAGAGACAGAAAACGAGAAATCACCCCCCAGGGGGGATGGTCACACTGCAATCCCTTCTCCTCCATTCTCCTCTCGGGATTTTGGGCACGCACGCACAGCGCCTGGTGTGAGTCCAAGCTGCCCGGTCTGGGACTTGAACTGAGGTCGATTATGTGGTAGTCCAACGACATAACCATTACAGCATCTGCTGGTCCCTTATTATTATTACTATTATCTTAATTGCTACAGGGTGTGTGTGTTTGTCAGAGAGAAAAAGAAAGTTAGAAAACTATCCCCTAGGGATGATCATGCCACAAGTCCTTCTCCATTCTCCTCTGGGGAGTTTGGGCATGCACACACTCATATCTGGTGTGTTTCTCAAGCCACCAGGTCCAGGGCTAGAACTCCAAGGTCCGCCATGTGGGGTTCAGCTGCCGCACCACCACACGCCATTACGCTAACTGCTGGTTCCCGAGTGCTCCCTTATAGTGAGGTATTCCCTCCACCACTATCATTCCTTCACTTGTTTTTTGACACTGTAGTTTTGTCTTTTCAGGAATGTTCTTTTTTCTTTTTTAAAGAATTACTTCATTTAATTTTATTTATGTATTCATTTATTTTAATTTGATAGAGAGAGAGAGTGAGGGAGGGAAAGTGAGAAAGCAAGCCACCAGGTCCAGGGCTTGAACTGTGGCCAGCCACGTGGGAGCGTCCAGCAGCCTAACCACCATGCCACCTGCTGGTTCCTTCAGGAATGTTCTATACAATGATTCTTACCTTGATCCTATTCTTCAGAGATAAGCAGTGTGAGCAGTGAGATGCATCTTTCCATTTCTTCTTACCTGAGGAGCGCACGTACGCACACACACACACACACACACACACACACGCCATTTATGAAGCACTTACTTGGAGAGGTTCAGAATAGTCATTAAAGATTCAGCCTCCACAGCTGGTGCTAATGTATTGCATGCCATAACACTTACACCCATTTGGACTCCCACGGGGTCTCTTAAGTCAGGAACAGGAGGCTGGGTAGAAGCCAGTGTGGGGTTCTTTTAATTCCCCTTTGGCCTAGACTCTCAACCTATTCTCCCAATGAGAGCGAGGACAGCTATTGTCTCATTAATGAAGACAGAGGTGAACGGAAGTACCTCCTCCTGCAGGATACAGCTGAGACCTTTGCCGCTGTGCTTGAGCAAACGATCACGTCCAACCTTTCAAAGGAAGAGACATCCACCCTGGCCACCGTCTTCTTGGAAAGTGTGGAAGCCACTACCCTCGCCGCCCTTCTGAAACCCTCAGAGAATGCCAGTCAGATTATACAGACGGAATACCTAGGTAGGATATACTCTCCACGGCTCGCTTCACACTTGGGTGCCCATGTCGAGGGACGTCGTTGGCAATGGGATTCTCTAGCTTGCTCTCCTACTCACGGTTTCCCCAACTGTTTTAAAACCCTCAAACCACAGCCAAGCAAGGCTATTCAAATGAACGACTTTATTTATTTATTAGGGAGATTTTTGCTATAGGACACATGCGCTCACTGGAGCTCACATACAGAAAAACAGAAACAGAAAGTGAGAAATCACCCCCCAGGGGGAATGGCCAGGTCGCCATCTCCCCTCCTCCATTCTCCCCTTGGAATTTTGGGCACACATGCATATGCACCCAATGTGAGTTTCAGGCTACCAGATCTGGGACTCAAACGATGGTCGATCATGTAGGAGTCCAGCACCTTAACCACTGTAACACCTGCTGGCCCCCTATCTGGCTCTTTTTAAAAGAAACTTGGGGTTCTGTTATCTATTTTATTTTGATGAGAAGCCAAAAGGATAGGTAGGTCCTGCAGCTATGTTACAGATGAGAACTAGGAAGCTCGGAGAGGTTAAGTCATTGCTCAGATTTACACAACAGTGAGTGGCAGAAGCAGAGCTCTTGTGCACCATGCTGGACTTGTCCAAGTCCCTTCTTATGTCCTCTGGCTTTGGAAAACCTATCGACATTTGGAATAGCCGGAAGTTCATAACTCTGTTGTCTCCTATCATGGTTAACTTCAATCCCACCTTCCCCTGATGAACCCCCTAAAATGTGAACATTCACTTCCAAAGCTCCAGCTGAACTTCTTGTTTGTTTCATCCTATCGTTCATCAAGGTCCTCAAGATGTTTCCCATGAGGAACTGGCCTTCCTGTTCTTCCCTTTGCTTGCCATCATGAATGTGTTCCTTTCTCGGGCAGAAATCAAATTCAGGACCCACTTTCTGGGAGACCTCACACAAACTCTTCCTTTCTCTCTTTAGATATTGAGAGTAAAGTTATCAACAAAGAATGCAATGAAGAGGATGGCTTTACCTTGAAAGCCAAAGGGGATGAGGTTAAGATCCGGTGTTCCACAATTGAGGAGTCTAAATCCACAGGTACAAACTGACTCCTGAAAATCCTGGTTATGGTGCATTCAATCAGCAGACATTTATCCATTAACTCATAAAAAGTTTAATGATCTTAATCATGATAGACCAAGTGCATGGTGTATATGCTATATGTGTTTGTATATACATGTATGTGTGTGTATATATATATGTATATACTGCACAGTTGGCTATGTGGGATCCAGTGTCTTAACCTCTATGCTATCTGATAGCCCTCATTTTAAAAAATGTGTTTCTATATTGCGTGTGTGCTTGCCAGAGTCAGAGACACAGAGAGGGAGAGAGGGAGAGAGGGAGAAGGTGAAAAAGCAACCTCATGGGGGCTGATCCCATTACACTCCTTCATCTCTCCCTTCTATCAGGATTTTGGGCATGCATACACATATACCCTATATGTTTTATTTTATTATTATTTTTTTCTTTCTAATTTTTTTTTTTTTTGTGGGGGAGAGGTTTTTGCTACAGGGTGAGTGTGCTCACCAGAAAGACAAAGAGAGACAGAGAGACAGAAAGTGGCCACGCCACAATCCCTTCTTTTCCATTCTCCTCTTGGGATTTTGGGCATACATGCACACGCACCTGGCGTGAGTTTAAGCCACTGGGTCGGGGACTTGAACCACAGTCGGCTACATGGGAGTCCAGCGACATAGCCATTACGCTAACTGCTGATCCCCACCCTGTGTGTTTTAAAGCTGTTTAAACCAGGACTTAAACTGTGCAGTTGGCCATGTTGGATTCAGCTCCCTTACCACCATGCCACTGGTTGGCCTGAAATTTTTATTTATAGCTGGAAGAGGATCTGATTATGTCTCGCAGATAGAAGTCCATGTAGGAAAACACCCTCTGACTGTAATGTAGAACACTTATGGGAGGGGTGAGGTGGGCAAGGAATACAGTGGTAAGGAGGGACGGGGCAGCCTTGGTTTAAGGCTATTCAAGTAATTCAAGGCACTTTAAGAAGGGAGATTCTGGGGCCAGCAGGTGGCGTGGTGGTTGAGGCACTGGACTCTCACATGACTGACAGTGGTTTGAGTCCCAGACCTGGTGGTTTGCTTTCTTACTTTCTCTCTCTCTCTCTGGTCTAATTAAAAAATATTAATACTCTAAATTAAATAAGTAGTTCTTTTAAAAATTTCGTAGTTCTGGTGAGGTTTACTGATCTGGAAACTCACTTAGCAGCCCAGCAAAATACATATGATATTAAAGTGTGTGTGTGTGTGTGTGTGTTTGTGTGTGCGTGTACACATGCATGTGTGCTGGTTTGTCTCTAACTGATCTGGAAACTCACTTAGCAGCCCAGCAAAATACATATGATATTAAAGTGTGTGTGTGTGTGTGTGCGCATGTACACATGCATGTGTGCTGGCTTGTCTCTAATCACTATTGAACATTGATTCCCTTTTTTGTTGTTGTTTCATTTGTGGGACCCTGCAGGACCCCCGAGGGTGGCTTTTCTCTCCTTTGAGGGCATGGAGTCTGTTTTAGACGAACGCTTCTTCCAAGACCCCCAGAGCCCTTTGGCCAGCTCCAGGATGAAGCTGCGGATGAATTCTCGTGTGGTAGGCGGTGTCATAACCGGGGAGAAAAAGGCCAACTTCTCAGATTCCATTATCTACATTCTGAAGAACATCCAGGTGTGTGAAGAAGGCTCAGCTGGACTCCCGTCCACCTACTCGATGAGAACTCCCTATCTCCCAGTGACCTTAACTCTTTTATTTTTTCCAAGAATTATTTTATTTAGCCTTTATTTATTTATTTATTTATTTATTTATTTAAATTTGACCAGGCAGAAAGAGAGAGGAGAGAGAGAGAGAAAGCGAGAAAGTAAGCCTTCAGTTCTGGGACTCGAACTGCAGTTGGCCACGTGGGAGTCCAGCACCCTTAATCATCATGTCACCTGCCGGCCCCATTTTTTTTTTCTTAATGTTATTTCTTTCTTCCGTGAGATCGAGAGAGGGAGAGGCAGCCCCAGTGAGGTCTCCGCACTGTAACCCTCGTCCAGTCTCAGTCACCAGGGTTGTAGGCACCGGTATTTGTGCCTGGCAAGCTCAGGAAGGTCCCAGAACCCTACCCCAAGGCTTGCCCATGTTGGTCCAGTTGAGTTACTGCTGTGCCACTATCTGGCCCCATTAACTTTTTTATTTCTTTTATTTAAATTTTTTTAAGAAAAGTGTTTGCTATTGGGCATGTGTGCTTGAGAGAGAGAGAGAGAAAGAGAGAGAGAGAGAAATGACCCTGCAAATTCTCCTGCAATCCCTTCTCTGTTCTCTTCTTGGGATCTGTGGGCATGCATGCACATTGACCAACATATTTTTCAAGTCACTGGGACCAGGGCTGCACAGGTGGCCATGTGGGATTAGCGCCTTACCCTCATGCCACCTGCTGGGCTGTATTTTAATTTTTTTAATTGCTAGAGGGTGCGTGCACTTACGAGAGAGAGAGAGAGAGAGAGGAGGAGAGGGAAAGCATCCCACAAGAACATGGTCACACTGCAACCCTCCATCCCGTTGGGATTTGGGGCATGCACACACATGTGTTTTTCAAGTCACCGGGGCTGGAATTCAAACTGTGGTTGGCCATGTAGGATCTGGACCCCTTAACCACTAGGGTAGGGTACTGGCCCAAACTCTTGTTCGTTCGTTTGTTTGTTTTAATGAGAAGCTATTGAGATAATAGGTTCCGCAATTTCTGGTGTACCCAAACCAATCCCCAAACGTCACTTTTAGAGAAATATTGTGTGGTCTGTATTTATTTATTTATTGGGAGAGAAAGAGGAGAGAGAGAGAGAGAGAGAGAGAGACCCCTACAGGGTCCTGGTGCCACGATCCACCCCCAGCATCAGCCAGGCCTGGAGTGCTCAGAGAGGTCTCTGGGCACGATCCTGGAACTCTCAAATGGGTCAGCTTGCAGAGTGTCGCGTGTATCACTGCATCACTATCCAGCCCCTGTTGATTTATTTTTCATGTCTCTCCTGTCATCCAAATGATCTCCTTGGGAGAAAAGACCATGGCTGTCTTATTTACCGATATCTCCCTTAGACAGTGAGGGTCAAAGATGCAATCGCTGCTCAATAAAAACCTATGGAATGAGAGTGAGTGAATACGTGAGTGATTATGTGGGGCTGTACCACAGAGTTGAGGGAAGGAGAAGTTTTCTTCTAGCCATATGAGTGTGGGCTGCCCCATCCCCATGTATTGAAATATTCAATCCCCCCCATTTTTTCCCATTCCCTACAGAATGTATCCTGAATGCCCTTATCCCCAGTGGCTATTGAGAATGTCCTCATGAAGTCCTCTTGAGAGGGATTCTCAGGTGACCACAGTCTTTGTTTTTCAGCCAAAGCAGGAGTCCGAGAGGCCCATCTGTGTTTCCTGGACCACAGACGGGAAGGGAGGGAGATGGACCCCCATTGACTGTGTGATCCTGGAAGCCTCCAAGACACGTACCGTCTGTGGCTTAAATCGGATGACGAATCTAGCCATCATCATGGCTTCCGGGGAGCTCACGGTCAGTACTGATGGCCTGTGCTCAGGCTCCCTGAGGGTCTGGCCCTGAATCCAATGGGAAAATATTAACTAAGCACTTCTCGTGTGCCTGCATGGTGGGGGGTGTTGAGGGAGGGTATCCAGGGGATGCCTTTGTCCTTTGGGATTTCATGGTCTGTTTGGGAAGCCATGACGCTTAAATCTGAAATGAGAAATACTGACCCTTCACAAGGGCAGGCAACGTAACAATCACAGATCTCATTTACATGTGTTTTTGAATGGCCAGTGGGCACATGCACTTGACAGAGAGAGATAAAGAGAGAGAGAGAAAGAGAGGGAGAAAGTACCCCCAATGAGGTGCATTCATGCTACAATCCCTTCTCCTCCATTTCTACATCCTATCAGGGTTTGGGGAACATACACACACACACACACACACACACACACACACACTCGGTATGTTTTTCAAGTTGCCAGGGCCAGGATTGGAACCCTGGTGGGCCATGTGGAATCTGGCTCCCTTAACCATTAGGTTATCTGGCTGGCCCATTAGACAATTAAAAAGTTTCTTTCTTTCTTTTTCTTTTCCTTTTTCTTTCTTCCTTTCTTCTTTATTTCTGTCTTTCTTTTTCTTCTTTTCTCTTTCTTTTTCTTTCTTTTCTTCCTTCTTTCTATTTCTTCTTTTCTCTCTTTCTTTCCTTTCCTTTCTTCCTTCTCCTTTTTTTCTTTCTTTCTTTCTCTTTCTTTCCTTTCCTTTCTTCCTTCTCCTTTTTTTCTTTCTTTCTTTCTTTCTTTCTTTCTTTCTTTCTTCTTTCTTTCTTATCTTTTTATTCCTTTCTTTTAATTTATTTCTTCTTTTTTTCTTTCTCTTTCTTCTCTCTCTCCCTCCTTTCTTTTTTCTGAGAGAAGTTCTCCCAATGGGGTCTTCATACCATGATCCACTCCTAGCCTCAGGCAGTTGGGGTCCTGAACATGAACTCAGGACCTTCCCTATTTAAGTCCAAATGCATTACCACGGAATCTCCACCTGACCCCACAGATCTTATTTAATGAGCACCTACTATGTGCTGGACTCTATTTTAAATATTTTTAGACCCACTTCACAGGATGGGAGACTTAAGGCTCAGACATCCTTAGGCCCATCCAGACATGCTGGGCATTTGGTGGCTGTGGCATCTGAACCTGGGGACATCTGACTCTAAAGATCTCTTTCCACTAAACCATACAAATGGAATAAGAGATTGTGCTATAGACAATTAGCATGTTCATCTTCTCTCAATCACTTATCAGTACTTGTGTTGGAGTCATTCAAAATCCTCTCTCAAATGTCAGAGTCTCCCTGTTTTTTTTTTATGGCTGAGTAGTATTCCATAGAATATATGTGTCACACTTCTTCAATCCAATCATGTGCTCTTGGACATTTGGGTTGATTCCATGGTCTTAGTAATTGTGGATAATACCGCAACAAACACGGATGTGCAAGTGTTTTTCTGACTGTTTTCCTATCCTTTGGGTAGACACCCAGGAGTGGAATTGCTGGGTCATATGGGAGTTCCATCTGTAGGTCTTTGAGGAACCTCCATATTCTCCACTGTGACTGTATTGATTTACATTCCCACCAACAGTGTAGCGTCCGTATTTTATAGCAGAATATGGAAGATTGGAAGGTTTAAAAGCATGGAAAGCTATCCAGCCATTAAGAACAACAAAACCCTGGCTTTTGACAGAAAGTGGAAAAATATGGAAGATTTAATGCTAAGTGAAGCAAGCCAGGCTATGAAGGAGAGACTCTGTATGTCCCCACTTAATATATATGGAATGTCCACACTCCATAACTGAAACTGACAGGCTAAAGGATGTACAAACACAAGAGGTGGATGTGAATGCCAGATGTGGTGTTTGTGGAAGAGTGGGGCCTGGGGAAGAACATTTGGAGGAGGGATACAAAGACAGCATTGTTAAGACAGGGAGGTAGTGTTGTTATATTTTTATCAACTCTATGGGAGAGAAATGTTCTTATATTGAAATGATCACCTTGTAAGCTAAATAATGTGATTGAATATATTTTAAAAATGTAAAAAAAAAAAAAGCATGGAAAGCAACTGTGGGTACTAGAGACAGTGTGAGAAGAGGGTGGAAAACAGAGGAGTGGGGGGAAGGGAAACAAGGGGTGAAAAGAAGCAAAACATTTAATGGACACAAAAATGGAAAATTAGGGAAGATGGCACGGCACTGGACTCCCACATGGCCAACCATGGTTCAAGTCTTGACCTCAGTGGCTTGAAACTCAGGCCAGGTGCGTGTGCATGCGTGCCCAAAATCCTGAGAGGAGAATGGAGAAGTGATTGCAGTGTGGCAATCCCTCAGGGGGTGATTTCTTGCATTCTGTCTCTCTGTCTCTCCAGCAAGTGCATTTGCCCTATAGTAAAAATCTCTCTTAAAAAATAAAAGGAAAATTATCTATTGAAGACAGCGTGTATGGTAATATCGTTGACTGGACTAATATATAGTATTTTCATGTCTGAAAAGTTCATTTTTTATGCTATACATGTATACAGTAATTAAATATATTTAAAAAATAAGAAATTAAAAAAAAAAACACAACCAAAATCCTCTCTCTTAGTTATCATGGCATACCCAGTTGACCCTATCCTGAGGTCAACAATGGATCTCTCTCCTGACAGATGGAGTTCACTCTGCACATCATCAGTCATGTGGGTATGATCATCTCCCTGGTGTGCCTCGTCTTGGCCATCGCCACCTTCCTGCTGTGTCGTTCCATCCGCAACCACAACACCTACATCCATCTGCACCTCTGCATCTGTCTCTTGCTGGCTAAGAGTCTCTTCTTCGGTGGTGCAGACAAGACAGACAACCAGGTCTGTATCCCTCAGCAGTGCCACTACTCAGCCCTGTCATTCCCCTCCTGCATCTGTCTACTTTTCTTCTGCCCCGACACGTGTTCCCACCTCAGTGCCTTTGCACATGCTGTGTCTTCTGCCCCCCATAACATCTGCCCCCCTCACACCTAGTTGAGTCTTCCTTGTGATAGCTCTTAGTTGAAAATCACTTCCATGATCATGGTATGCATCATGGTGAACCCTTCTGTTACTTTCATTTTCTAAAAATTATTTTATTTAACTTTATTATTTATTTATTTTTGATTTGACAAGAGATAGAAAGGAGAGAGAGAGACAGAGAGAGTGAGAAAGCAAACCACCAGGTCCAGGACTCAAACTACAGTCAGCCATGTGAGAGCCCAGTGTCCTTAACCACCATGCCACCTACTGACCCCTCTCTTCTATAACTTTTTATACCAGTGGTTCTCACCAGGGGTGAGCCTCCCAAGATATGTTAGCAATTTGGGTTGTTACGACAGGGGTAGGGTGCCTCTGAGGTCTAGAAGTGAGAGGTCAGAGAGCCTGACTTCTGCCCTATCAGATGGACCATCCTTGTGCATTGAAATATCCAGTTTCTTTTCTTTCTTTTTCTTCTTCCTTTTTTTTTTTTTTTTTTGGCATAGGGTGCATGCGTTCACCAGGGACAGAGACAGAGAGAGGGAAAGTGAGAAATCACTTCCCCCAGGAGATGGCTACAATCCCTTCTCCATTCTCCCTTGGGATTTTAGGCACACATGCACACACACCCAGTGTGATTTTCAAGCCATTGGGTCTGAGACTCAAATTGTTGTTGACCATGTGGGAGCCTTGTGCCTTAACCACCACACCGCCTGTGGGCCTCCCAAAGTATCTTCTTAATTCAATTTCATGATTTCTTTTTAAGTTCATGCATAGTTGTTTTGTAATACACATTTTCCATGAATTTTTTTAAAAAGAATTATTTTATTTAACTTTGTTTATTATTATAAATAATTTTTAAAATTTGACAAGATGGGACCGGCAGGTGGTGTGGTGGTTAAGGGCACTGGACTCCCACATGGCTGCCCACAGTTCAAGTCCCGGACCCGGCAGGTTGCTTTTTCACTTTCCCCCTCTCTCTCACTCTGTCCCTCTGTAGTCAAATTAAACTAAATAAATAAACAAATAAATAAAGTTACATGAAATAATTCTAAAAAAAATTGACCAGAGAGAGACAGAGAGAGAGGGAAAGTGAGAAATCACACACCAGGGGCAATGGTCACACTGCAATCTCTTCTCCATTCTCCTCTCCAGATTTTGGGCACACACACTCATACACCTGGTGTGAGGTTTAAGCCACCAGGTCGGGATTTGAACCATGGTCAACTATGTGGGAGTCCAGCAAGTAACCATTAGACCATCTGCTGGTCCCCAAACCATGGTTCCAATTTGGGACCCAGCGACTTGAAAATCACACCAGGTGCATGTGCATGCTGCCTAAAATCCCAGGAGAATGGAGGAGAAGGATTGCAGCATGGCTGCCCCCTGGGGGTGACTTGTCACTTTCCCTCTCTCGGCTCTCTGGCAAGAGCATGTGCCCTATGACAAAAGTCAATACAATAAAAAAGAACCACGGGATCTCTGTGAACAGCCACCGGGTCCGGGGAACTCTAGTAGCCCCTGCCGAGGCCGCCCCGCCCACCTGCTCTCTCAGTGGGCAGTCCTGAAGCGCATGCGCGTTTCTTCTTTCCAGCTGGTCTGCGCCCTCATCGCGGGTTTTCTGCACTACCTTTTCCTCGCCTCCTTCTTCTGGATGCTGGTGGAGGCCATGCTGCTCTTCCTGACGGTGCGGAACCTGAAGGTGGTGAATTACTTCAGCTCTCGCAATATCAAGATGCTGCACCTCTGCATCTTTGGCTACGGGCTCCCGGCCCTGGTGGTGGCGGTGGCAGCCTGCGTGCAGCCACAGGGCTATGGGATGCTTGATCGGTGAGTGCCGCCCTCCCTCTCGCTGAAGCCCCTGCTGCCAGAGTCATGGCGATCATTTCCGGATCGTCAGTCACGGTGGCAGTAGAACTGCGGGTCCCAGAATCGCGGGTCCAGCCGGTCGGGTTGTGCACTGAGCAAATTCAGGCATCGCTGGTACCTGTGACTGCTATTCCCGGAAGGGCATCTGGTTGGCCGAACCTATTTTTCTTCCTTCCTGTGTGTGAGGAGAGAGGAATACTCATTTATTTATTTATTTTTAAAAGAATGATCTGTTCAACTTTATGTATTTGTATTATTTTTTAAAAAAATTGACGAGAGAGAGACAGAGGGGAAGTGAGAAAGCAAGCCACCAGGTTCAGGACTTGAACTGTGGTGAGCCATGTGGGAGTCCAGCACCTTAACTACCATGCCACTTGCCAGCCCCAAGAGGTATTTTTTAGTAATTCAGTTTTTTTTTTTTTTTTTTTGAAAGATTTTTGCTATAGGAAGAGTGTACTCGCCAGAGAGACATAAAGTGAGAAATCACCACCAGCCTAAGGAGGATGGCCACACTGAAATCCCTTCTTCTCCATTCTCCTCTTGGGATCTTGGGCACACACACACATGTGACCGGCGTGAGGTTTAAGCCACAGGGTCTGGGACTCGGATTGTGGTCAACTACACGGGAGTCAGTGACATAATCATTCGCCACCTGCTGGCCCCGAGAGAGAGGACTCCTACTAAAGGAATATGGAGGTGTTCTTGAGCAATGCAGAGAGGTTGATATGGAGTAAAAGCAGCAAACACAGACCAGAGACAAAAATAGAAGAGGCAATCCCTCCTCCCTCCTCTTCTTCCTCCTCTGCTCCCCACTTCTTCCCTCCCTTTCTCCTTTCTCCCTTCTGTCCTTCCTTCTTTCTCTCCCTCCCACATTCCCTCGCTCCCTCTCTCCTGCTCTTCCAAGTACTCAGGGACTACCTGGTCCCTGCAGGCGTTGGGTTAGGTGCCCGGTAAATACAGATAAGCAGACACTCGAAGTTGCATTCTCACACTGGCGGTAGCCTTTCAGGGCAGACCATTTGCAAGTGTATAAACAGCTGGACAGGATCATTTATGACAGTGACAACCGCTGTTAAAAAAGTAGTGTGGAGACCAGCAGATGACGTAACGGTTACATTGCTGGACTCCCATGTAGTTGACTGTGGTTTGAGTCCCGGACTGGTGGCTTCAAACTCACACCAGGTGTATATGTGTGCATGCCCAAAATCCTGAGAGGAGACTAGAGAAGGGATTGCAGCATGACCATTCACCCTGGGAGTGATTTTTCCACTTTCTGTCTCTCTGGCGAGTGCATGTACCTATAACAAAAGTCTCTCTTTAAAAAAAAGTACAGTGTGGGGACCAGCAGGTAGCATGGTCTCCCATGTGGCTGACCATGGTTTGAGCCCTGGACCCAGAGGCTTGAAACTCACGCCAGGTGCATGTGTGTGCATACCCAAAATCCCAGAAGGGGATTCGAGGACAAGGGATTATGGTGTGGCCATCTTCCCTGAGGGGTAGTTTTCAATTTCTCCCTCTCTCTCTCCTGTCTCTCTGGGGAGCATATTATAGAAAAAAAATTACAACGAACCCTGCTAGAGAGTGATCAAAGTGAGGGTGAGTGTACGTTAGCTAGGAATAATCCAGAGTAGCTTCTCAGAGGAGGTGACATTTGAGCTGAGATCTGAATGAAGATGTATCAATGGAGAGTTATGTGGAGACAGGAAAGGGATGACTAAGTCTGGGAATTGAGAATGAGCTAGCCCTCAGGCACCTGCTAGAACATTCAAGAGCATGGGGCAGGAAGAAGGTGCGAAATAAAATGCACCGTGGTCCAGAGGGAATGGAAGTGCTCCTGGAGCCAACCTGAGACTTCCCCCCCAAGTCTCACCTCCCAACAGTCCCCCCGTTAGTGTGTTTGTGGGACAGGCGTATCGGGAAGGTCTCGGCTCTGAAACCAGGCGCAGACTTACCCTGTTTTTCTCCCCAGCTGCTGGCTGAATACAGAGACAGGGTTTGTCTGGAGTTTCCTGGGGCCGGTTTGCACCATCATAATGGTAAGGAAATCGCTGGGTGAATGTGTTCTGGAGGAGATGCACAGAGACCCAAGGGCCCAGGAACTGCCAGCCACGAGGATTCTTTGTCCCCCTTTAAAATTTCTCCCTTCTGATTCTTGAGATTTCCAAATTAGAGAGTAATGTATTTGTTTGTGATATTTTTTCCCTATGCCAAAAGAGAAATGCCCTTGGAAGGGACCCCACATGTACTTGCCAGAGAGACAGAAAGAGACAGAAAGAGACAGAGAGACAGAAAGAGACAGAGAGACAGAAAGAGACAGAGAGACAGAAAGCGAGAAATCACCCCCCCCCCGGGGGGGGATGGCCATGCCATCATCCCTTCTCTTCCATTCTTCTCTTGGGATTTTGGACACACACGTGCTCCTGGTGTGAGTTTCAAGGCTCCAGGTCTGAGACTTGAACCACAATTGTTCATGTGTGAGTTCAGCACCTTAACCACTGTGCCACTTGCTGGTCCTAAACCCTGGCTTTCTTTTTTTGAAAGAACTGTTTTGCTTTAACTTTATTAATTAGTCTTATTATTTTCCAATTAGACCAGAGAGAGAGAGAGAGAAAGTGAGAAAGGAAGCCACCAGGTCCAGGACTTGAACCATGGTTGGCCATGTGGAAATCCAGTGCCTTTAACCACCACGCCACCTGCCAGTGCCCCGGCTTTCATTTTTAAATGACTGGTGGCTCCTGTGGAAATAAAGACTAGCCAGATGAGAAGAAGCAAAGGATTCTTATTCAGAAATTGGGAGTGAGAAACCACCCATTTGGCATAGCCTCACACAGACACAGAGTGGGAAAGCGTCCCTCCACCCCCGCAGTGGGCGCTTTCTTCACTCAGAAAACAGGAGCAAAATAAACTTCAGCTGCAAATTCGCTTCAGGCTTCATAGTAGCAAGTCGTATGTATATCAAACATACAATAATGTAAAACAATAACTTACAGACACAAGCTGATGATAAACTATGATTTCACAAAAGATTGTCAATATTTTGCATGCCGCCAGTCCTTTCTTGTAGGCAAAGTGCTCTTTGGATGACAAATAAATTAACCTATATGCACTAGACAATACAAAAAGAAGTTTTGATTTATTTTTTTCTCTTATAAACATAAGCTTATCGTTTATAGTCTTCAAACATTGTTGCCTTTGAACTTTCATTATTTTAAAAATAACTATTTATTGGGACCAGCAGTTAGTGTAATGGCTATATTGCTGGACTCCCACGTAGTTGACTGCGGTTTGTGTCCCGGACTCAGTGGCTTAAAACTCACATCAGGCGCATGTGCATGCGTGCCCAAGATCCCAAGAGGAGAGTGGAGGAGAAGGGATTGTGGCATGGCCATCCCCCCCTGGGGGGTGATTTCTCGCTTTCTATCTCTATGTCTCTCTCTGTCTGTCTGGCGAGCGCACATGCCCTATAGCAAAAACCTCTTAAAAATGAAAAAAAATTATTTATTGAATTACTATTATTATTAAAGAATTACTATATTTAACTTTATTTATTTATTTTAATTTGACCAGAGAGAGAAAGTGAGAAAGCAAGCCTCCAGGTCCGGGACTCGAACTCTGACTGACCCTATGGGTGTCCATGCCCTTAACCACCTTGCCACCTGCCAGCTGCAACTTATTATTATTTTTTTAAAATTTGACCAGTCAGAGACCGAGAAAGAGAGAGAGGAAAAGTAAGCAAGCACCATTTCAAGTTTGGGACTCGAACCACAGTCAGCCATGGCAGAGTCTGGTGCCTTAACTACCATGTCACTTGCCGGCCCTGAACTTTTATAATTTGATAAAACATTCATCAAACAATCTATAGACTAGTTTCACAGACAAAGAAGATTTTTTAAGCAGACATGACAGTCCTAAACATTTTTTTTCACACCCACATTTTTTTTCTCACCACCCAAGTCTCTACCAACCGCTTTCTCCCCTTACTGTCTCTGGCGTCCACACTCACCCTGTCTACATCACATCTTCTGCTCTCTCAAGCTCTGCCTTAAAGTAGACGCTTGGGAGAACTGGGTGGAGGAGGAAGCTTTCTAGTGGACAGAGAGGGAAGACTTCCGGTCTGGCCCAGGTGAGCGCTGTTGGTATGGGGAGCTGGTGAACGAGGGGCAGGATATCCAACCTGATTGCGTAGGGGTGTGTATTGGCTTTCTCAGACTGCTCCTAAGTCGAAGAGGGGACAGAAGTTAGAGAAGCTGTCACTGATGAATCCAGACCCAGTCCCCTGGGATGAATGGCTGTAGACTTCATTGCCTGGCTGCCGGGATGGGTTGCTACAGAAGTGGGCCAGAGTTCTACATTTTAATTTTTTTTCTTTTTTTCAAAGAATTATTTTATTTAACATTATTTATTTCTTTAAAATTTGATCGAAGAGGGACAGAGTAAGAGAGAGAGAGAGAGAGGGAGAGAGAGGGAGAGAGAGGGAGAGAGAGAAAGCAAACTGCCAGGTCCAGGACTCAAACTATGGTCAGCCATGTGGGAATGTCCAGCAGTTTACCAGCCACGCCACCTGCCGGCCTCCAGAGTTCTATTCTTCTAGGTGGGCTAGCCATGCCCATGTGAACGTCCCGTCTCTCACCGCCCGCTGCCTGACCTTGTAGATCAACTCCATCCTGCTGACTTTGACACTGTGGATCCTGAGGCAGAAGCTGTCCAGCGTCAATGCCGAAGTCTCCAGTCTCAAAGACACCAGGTGAGATCCTGTCCCCCTCACCTCGGGTTTCCCTTCCTCGTTTCTAGGATGCATCACTGACCACCTTCTGTCTGCTGGGTCCCGAGTTCAAGACAGAGGGGTGATGAGGGCTGTGTAGAATACTCTAGCTCTGGGCCAACAGGTGGCATGGTGGTTAAAACACTGGACTCCCATATGGTCGACCATGGTTTGAATCCCGAACCTAGTGGCTAGCTTTTTCACTTTCTCTCTCTCTGGTGAGCACACCTGCTCTATAGCAAATTAAAATAATAATAATAATAAAATACTTATTTTAAAAACTTTTAAAAAAGAATATTCTAGCTCGAGGCCCTGCCCTATAGCCTAGTGGTTAAGGGAGCCAGATTCCACATGGCCCAGCATGCAGATTGAGTTCTTGCCCAATGGCTTGAAAAACACCAGGTACATGTGTGTGCATGCCCCAAATCCTGAAGGATAGAAAAATGGAAGAGAAGAAATTGTGGGGTGCTTTCTCCCTCTTTCTTTCTCTTTCTTCTTTCTTTCTCTCTTTCTCTTTTCTCTCTCTTTTCTTTCTTTCTTTCTTTTTTTCTTTCTTTCTTTCTTTCTTTCTTTCTTTCTTTCTTTCTTTCTTTCTTTCTTCTTTCTTTCTTTCTTTCTTTCTTTCTTTCTTTCTTTTTCTTTCTTTCTTTCTGGTGAACACATTCACTCTCTGGAGGTCACCAAAAAAAAGACCAGTAAGGCATTTGAAATTAACTAGGCCTTGGGAGGTTTGTGGACTTTGGATGTTAGCACAATTACTATGATCTTATGAATTTCATGGAATTTAAAAGAAGCTCTTTTATTTTTTTTTCATTTCTGTGTGTGTGTGTGTGTGCTCACCAGAGAGAGACAGAGAGACAGAGAGAAAGGAGAGGGAGCAAACATCCCCCAGTGGGGTGTGGTCATGCCCCAATCCCTCTTTTCCTTCATTTCTTTATCCTCTTGGGATTTGGGGTATGCACGCACACATGCCCAGTGTGTTTTTCAAGCACCAGGGCTGGGACTTGAACTGTGGTCAACCATGTGGGACCTGGTATCTTTAACTACTTGGTTACAGGGCTGGCCTCCCTTATTATACTTATTTAGTTTCTTGACCTTCTTCATACTGTCACATAAAATCTCAACACATGAGGACCAGCAAATGATGTAATGGTTACATTGTTGGACTCCCAGGTAGTCAACCATGGTTCGAGTCCCAGTCCCAGCTGCCTAAACTCATGCCAGGTGTGTATATGTGTGTGCCCAAAATCCCAAGAGGAGAATGGAGGAGAAGGGAACTGTGGTATGGCCATCCCCCCAGGAGGGTGATTTCTTGCTTTCTGTCTCTGTCTCTCTAGCAATCACATGTGCCCTATAGCAAAAAAATCTTTAAAAAAAACTCAACACATGAATTATGAGGGATACTTCCAAACCGTAGAGTTGTCTGTATGTCAAAGGGATGAATTAAGTCAAAGTGAGGTTAAATAGATGACAAAGGCCATAAAGTTAGTGAATGAATCCGTCAGAATTTGAATGCAGGCAACCTGCACCTGTATCCCCTACGGTGTTCATCTTATTTTAAAAATGGCTTTATAATCTACTTTCTGTTGCTATGAATTTGCCTATCATGGGCATTTTATATCAATGAAATCCTACAATATGTGGTCGTTTGCATCTAGTTTCCTTTACTCAGTATTAAGTATGCAAAATTCATCTATGTTCTATCATCTCTCAGGGCTTCATTCCTTCTTCATGGCTGAATAATATTCCACTGAATGGATATACCATATTTTATTTATCCATACATCTGTTGTTGGATATTTGGGTTGCTGCCATATGAGAGAGAGGGGAACTGGGAATGGCTGTTTAATAGAAATGGGGGTTCTTTCTGGAGTGATAAAAATGTCTTGGAACCAGATAGTGGAGATGTACAACATTGTGAATATAATTCAATGCCACTGCATACTTTAAATGGTTAAAATGTTGAATTTAGGGGCTGGCAGGTGGCGTGGTGGTTAAGGGCGCTGGATTCCTACATAGCTGACTGCGGTTGGAGTCCCAGACCTGGCGGTTTCCTTTCTTACTCCCCCCCTACTCTGTCCTTCTCTAGTCAAATTTTAAAAATAAATAAATATAATAAAGTTAAATAAAATAATCCTTAAAAATGATGAATTTGATGTTAGGTTATTTTATCTCAATATGAAGAAAGGCTTCACAGTACTTCACACTATAACTTCGTCATTCATTTAGCATGTCCCAAATTGGGGGGCACTTGGGCCCTTCTGTTCTTGGCAGGGGGGGGGGTGGCTACACCACCATCCCGTCTCCATTCTCCTCTTGGCATTTTGGGCACACGCACACGTGCACCCAGCATGAGTTTTAAACTGCTAGGTCTGGGCCTCGAACCGTTGTCGACTACATGGGAGTCCAGTGATGTAACCATTGCGCCATGTGCTGGCTCCCCAACTGCCTTCAAATGTTTCTAGGATCTGACTTCTCTGCCTCTGGGCTTGGAGACTCCACTCTGCCTGTGGGTGCCCCCTAAAGGCCAGGTTACATGACTGCAGCCTCAGTCGCTCCTGGAAGCCTGGCTCATGAGGCCAATGGCTGCCTGCCTCCCAGAGCCTCACGCTCTGCCCCTGTCCTCCCCCAGGATACTGACCTTCAAAGCGTTTGCCCAGCTCTTCATCTTGGGCTGCTCCTGGGTGCTGGGCATTTTCCAGATTGGACCTGTGGCCGCTGTCATGGCTTACCTGTTCACCATCATCAACAGCCTGCAGGGGGCCTTCATCTTCCTCATTCACTGTGTGCTCAATCACCAGGTCAGTGGCCACTGCGCTCCTGTCCCCCTCCCTGTCCTTCACGAAGTCACCTGTCCCAGGACCGTTTCCCTGCAGAGGAGTGGTTCATGTCCTGGCGACGTGTCTTCCTCTCCAGGTACGAGAAGAATACAGGAGATGCCTCACCAGGAAGAGAAAGTCTAGCTTCCAGTCCCAGACATCCGGGGTCTTGTTGTCATCCATACCTTCCACCTCCAAAACGGTGAGAGACAGCACGCCCGGGCAGATTCTCAGCAGACAGAACGCTTCTTAGCCACGCTGGACACTGCCGTGGGTTGTGTGCCGGTGGGAGCAAGCGTGTTCATCTTTTTAGCTCAGTGAATAAAATGTGGGATTTGGGGCCAGCAGGTGGCACAATGGTTACATGCGCCCACGCAGTCAACTGTGGTTCCCACGTAGTCAACTGTGGTTCGAGTCCCAGACCCAGTGGCTTAAAACTCCTGCTGGGGGCTGGCAGATGGTGTGGTGGTTAAGGGTGCTGGATTCCCACATGGCTGACCACAGTTCGAGTCCCAGACCTGGTGGCTTGCTTTCTCGCTTTCTTTCTCTCTCTCTTTCTGTGTCTCACTCTGATCAAATGAAAAATAACAATAATAATAAATAATAAAAAAAGTAATTATTTAAAAAGAAAAGAAAGAAAGAAAGAAAGAAAGAAAGAAAGAAAGACCTCACACTGGATATGTTTGCTTGTATGCCCAAGATCCTGAGAGGAAAATGGAGAAGGGATTGCGGTGTGGCCATCCTTACTGGGGGGTGATTTCTTGCTTTCTCTCTCTCTCTAGAGAGCATAGATTTTTGCCCTATAGCAAAATTCTTTCTCTAAAAAATAAGTGTGAGGTTTCACAGTGGGGGTTCTGCAGCCAAGGTGCCGGGTTTCAATCCTAGATCTGTCTCTTTCATTTATTAAAAAAAAAAAAAAAAAGACAAAATCATGACTCCTGCAGATATACAGCGAGCATATGCGAAGGGTTTTGTTCTACTTATTAAGCAGTGAGGAAGCCAGGAACATATTATAATGGCTCAAAAGAGAATTCAAAGAACAAATATGCAAACACACATAGGCTATCTTATTTCCATATACATATAAATATGAGAAACTTCACTATGTTTTTAAATTTTAAATTTCATTATATAAGTGAAATACCTTTCATTCAAAGGTATTACAGTTACACACATTTTATTTATAAATTATATTTAGTTAGTTAGTAAGGATTTTTGTTTTAAGGCACATACACTTGCCAGAGAGAGACAGAGAGACAGTGAGAGGGAAAGTGAGAAATCATCCCCCCAAGAGGTGATGGCCACAACTGCAGTCCCTTTTCCTCCATTCTCCTCATGGGACTTTGGGCATGAATGCCCATGTCCAATGTGAGTTCTGAGCTGCCAGGTCCAGGACTCAAACCGTGGTTGGCCATGTGGGAGTCTAGTTGCTTTAACCACCATACCACCTGCTGGCCCCATTTAATTTTTTAAAAAACTAATTATTTATTTACTACTACTTAAACATTTTTCTATAAAGCATGTGTGCTCACAAGAGAGAGAGAGGGAAAGTGAGAAAGTAAGTCACCAGGTTCAGAACTTGAACCCCATTCGGCCATGGGGGAGTCCAGTGCCTTGTGCACCACACCATCTGCTGGTCCCCAAATTTTATTATTTTTTTAAAGTTTACTCATCAACAGAGAGAGACCCTAATGAGGCCTTCATGCTATGATCCACTGGGTTCTAGCCAGTCTGGATAATAGGCATACATTGTAGCATGACCAAGAGGGCTCCAGGATGTGAACCCAAGACTTTTTCCATGTGGGTTCAGCTGCGTTATGGTTATACCCCTGCCTGGCCCCTAGTAATGTTAAAAAATTAGTTGTAAGCAACAATAAAGCAAATTTAAATGACTCAGTATACCACCACATGGGGACTCCAATAATACTTTTGGGTTCAAAAGCCAGTGGTTTAATTAAATAGTAAATTATTTTTCTTTGAAGAACAGAAGTCAGAGGATAGATGTTGCTGGTATAAGTTCTACCACTCAGTGGTGTTATAAAGCATCTAGGCTCTCCCTAGACTTTCATTTAACCATCAGTATGTCAGATTTTCATTATAGTGTTTTCATGGTTGCAAGGTGGCTGCCATAGCTCCAGACATCATGACCATGTCCAAGGCAAGAAGAAGAGGGATGGGGCAGAAGCAACAAACTCTGCTTTCATATCTCTCTTTTTAACAAGAAACAAAACATTCCCAGAAATCCCGGAACTAATTTTCTTTCACCCCATTGCCCAGAGCTATATCCTGTGACCCACTTGTAGGTATCAAGAAATCTGAGAAAAATATCTTTGTAGCATCTAGAGTGGGAGCTAGCCATGGTGACAAGGTTAGGAATGGTTTTTGGGTTCGCCAACAGTGCCTGTGACTCTAGGGCCAATCGCTTTTAGCATTTTAATGTCTGTTCTTCTATTCTTTGTTACTATGTTTATCTTTCTGTTTATGACCCATGCTCCTGCAAATATGACCCTTGGAATTGCGTGTGTATTGGTTCTGCTACCGACTTTAAGGAAATACTTTTTTTTCTTCTTCTTACAGAGTTAAGGTCATTTCTTGCTTTCTGATACCCCATGGAGCTACGTCTGAGGATAGAATGTGGCTTCAGGAGCTTCCTGTGAAATCTTTTCATGGCATAATGTGGCCACGCAAGGTCCTGCCAACTCCAGAACTCTCTGAGCAATTCTGAGCATGCAGTGTTTGTTACAAGGCATTGTCTGTGGCAACTGCTAACAGATACACTCACGGATGGGCTACACTCACGGATGGGCTGTTCATCATCTACATTTCATTGCAACAATTTGGAATATAAAAAAAGAAAAGAATGTAAGACTTCATTTACTTTTAGCTTTCAGGAGAATAAGTTCCGTGCTTATTTAATTTTTTTTTTTTTTCTGACAGAAGTCTTGCACAAGGCTTTGTATGTTTCGACAGTGGTATTATATGCTGGTCTAAAATTAGTCACTTGAAGAAATTTTACATTTCAGGGCCAGCAGGTGGTGTAGTGGTTAAGGGGCTGGACTCCCACGTGGTGGACCATGGTTGGAGTCTTAGACCTGGTGGCTTGAAGCTCATACTGGGCGCATATGCGTGCATGCCAAGAATCCCGAGAGGAGAATGGAGAATGGATTGCAGTGTGGCCCTCCTCCCTGGGGGTGGTGGTGGTGGTGGTGATCTCTTGCTTTCTGTCTCTCTGGTGAGTGCATGTGCCCTACAGAAAAATAAACTCTCAAAAAAAAGGGGGGGGGAGATTCTACATTTCTTAATTTCTGTGACCTCCAGAAATTTTCTTTCTAGAAACTTCAAGCTATAATACATTTGTTTTCCTTTACTCCTGTGGTTTCACATGTCTCCACTAGAGGGAGTAAAGACTCAATAAAAACCGCATGATTCTCAAATCCAACCATTGAACAGAAAACAAGAGTGGAAACTTCCGTGTTGAGAATGACGGATACGGTGATATTTTTGACTAGATTGACATGCACCGCCCTCATACCTTGAAAAACCATACTGTATGCTGTAAATGTACAATGATTAAATGCAAATTTAAAAATGAAATGATTTTTTCTTCTCATAATCCATACAATTCATGGTGTCAAAAATTACAGCTCTATTGGGGACCAGCAGTTAGCGTAATGGCTATGTCGCTGGACTCCCACGTAGTCGACCGCGGTTCACGTCCCGGACCCAGTGGCTTAAAACTCACACCGGGCGTGTGTGTGTGCGTGCCCAAGATCCCGAGAGGAGAATGGAGGAGAAGGGATTGCGGTGTGGCCATCCCCCCTGGGTGGGGGGTGATTTCTCGCTTTCTGTCTGTCTCTCTCTCTCTGTCTGTCTGGCAAGCGCACGCGCCCTATAGCGAAAACCTCTCCAAAAAAAAAAAAAAGAAGAAAAAATTACAGCTCTATTCACTCAAGAAACATTACTGACTACTTACAATGCGCTTTTCTTCATGAGAATATTAAATTAGTTTTTTTTAAAAAATCCCAAAATTGGGTAGCGTGAGTTTTAGAACTTATAACCTTTCTTCACATTAAAACATTTTATTTATCCCCAAATCAGAATTTGTAAAATTTTACTCTTCCGGTTTTTTTTAAGGGAAGTAAATATAAAAATATTTTTTAAACTGTCTTCGGTAACAAAAGAAAGACATTGTTCAAAGTATGACTCAACCTTTAAAAAGCAGGAGACAGTGCTGGCCCCTTAGCTTTGTGGTTAAAGGAGATGAATCCCACATGGCTAACTCTAACTATGGTTCAAATCCCAGCCCTGGGAGCTTAAAACACATGTTGTATATGCCCCAAATGTGTGCGTGCCCCCAATCCAACAGGGTGGAGAATGGATGGCGGCATAGCCATCCCCATTGGGGGGCATTTTCTCCCTTTCTCTCTCAAGAGAGAGCAAAATTGCCTTTGGCAAGTAATAAAATAATCTTTTAGTCACACCTCTCTGGGTATAAAGGAAAAAGAGCAGCACAACAATGCCAAATGTCTCACGCCCACAGAGGAGATTGTCCTGGAGGTTACCGAGAACAAGCACTTCATTTTCCCGTGTATCGCATTTTGAACAATTTTCAACTCATGTGCTAACGCGAAGTGAAAATAGAGATTGAGTGTGAGAAATTTCTGAGCAAACAAAACCAACCGACCCCTTAATCTTGGGGCCAGCCGTTGGTGTGGTAAAGGTACTGGACTCCTTTGTAAAAGATTTATTTCATTCAACGTTATCTATTTAATTATTTATTTAAATTTGACCAGAGAGGGACAGAGAGAGAGCGAGAGGGAAAGTAAGAGAGCAAGCCCCCATGTCCGGGACTTGAACTGTGGTCGGCCATGTGGGAGTCCAGCGCCCTTAACTACCACATCACCTGCTAGCCCTCTTTCACTCTGTCCTTCTCTGGTCAAATTTTAAAAAGAAATAAATAAAGTTAAATAAAATAGTTCTTTAAAAAGAGAGAGAGAGAGGCTTTTAATTGTCCGGTGGGGGGGCGCAAAGGGAAGAAACTTAACAAAGTGTGAATTGCTCTGTGGGAAAGAATGTCCTGTAAAGTTTACTTTATAAAAATTAAAATTTAACTTCAAAAGAGGAAGACGTATAGACTTCCTTCCACTGCTGGATGGTCTCCTAGGAAGTTCCAAAGCCCTTCAGTGGTGGAGTGATTCGCCACCATTCCCCATGCTTCTATCCCCTCTTTCTCTTTCCATCTAGAGTGGAGGAGGGTGAGAAGAAGGGAATCAAGGAGAAAAATTAGAGAGGCAAGATATTTATTTAGATGTTTGTTTGGAGAGGTTTTTGCTATAGGGTATGTGCGCTCATCATAAAGACAGAGAGAGAGATAGAGAGACAGAAAGCAAGAAATCACCCCCAGGGGGGATGGCCACGCCACAATCCCTTCTCCTCCATTCTCCTCTCGGGATCTTGGGCACGCACGCACACGTGCCCAGTGTGAGTTTAAGCCACTGGGTCCAGGATTCGAACCGTGGTCGACTACATGGGAGTCCAGCGACATAGCCATTACGCCAACTGCTGGTCCTGAGAGGCTAGATATTTAAGGGACACAGAAATGGAGGATTGTCTGTGGATGAGAACATGGATGATATCTGTCACTGGATTGGCGTTCAGTGAATTCACGCTGGGCAAATTCAGTTTCCAGGCTGTAATGATGAACAGTCATCGTAGAAAATAATTTTCTTAAAAAATTTAAAATTGTTAAAAAAAAATAGTCGCGTGATTAAATATAGCTCAGAGATGTTCGTTACCGTGTTGTCTATAGGGCTAAAACGTTAAAACTGATCCACGCTCGGGTTAAGTGTGATACGACTGGTGTACACCATAGCTGACCATGCAGCCGTCTGCACATAGAGCGCGAAAAGATTTGGCGTGTAAAGGAAAAATCTGAGGCACGATACAATTTTAAATCCTATTTGAGTAAGAAGCAATTCATCCATTAGGAAACACCAAACCAGAAGAGGTTTGGTGGTTCCATGACAAACTGTCAGAGGCAAGTATTTTTAATTTTTTTTTTTTAAGCTTAAGTCCCTAGTCAGATAACTTACACTAGTTGGCTCCTTGTGTTTGGCTGAGGTTAAATATTGTTTTTGTGGTTTGTTTTGTTTTTAGAGGCTCTGCTTTAAGGTGCATGTGCTCACCAGAGAGAGACAGAGACAGTGAGAGAGAATGCAAAAATCACCCCTTGGGGGGAATGGTCATGCTGCAATCCTTCTACTCCATTCTCCTTCAGGAATCTTGGGCACACATGCAAGAGAGAGAGGGGGAAAGTGAGAAGGCAGGCTGCCAGGTCTGGGACTCGAACCATGGTTGGCCATGTGGGAGTCCAACAACCATAACCACCAATGTTACCTGCTGGCTCCCTCTCTTGATCTCAGTTCTTCATGTGCAAAAAATAAGTTCATAACAGTTGTAGGGATGAAATAAATCAGTATATGCAAGGGTCGTAGAACAGTGCATATAGTAAGTTTTCAGTATAGGTTATTTTCTTTTCCATGAGCCAAATGTCCCACAAGGGGAATTTCACTGGTTACTTCATTCCTTCACAAAAAGACAAACTGTAATCAAATGAGGTGAACGTTCACCTCCAGGCTTTGTGGTCTTCGTAATAAAACAAAAGATGGAGCTTGGAACTGGATCACATGGTGCTTTCTCTTTTTATCTCCTCCCAGTTCAAAAGCATCTTGTTTTGCTACAGGGCATGTGCGCTCACCAGAGAGAGAAAGTGAGAGAGCAAGCCTCCAGGCCCGGGGCTCGAACCATGGTTGGCCACGTAGGAATTCAGCACCTTCACCACCACGCCACCTGGTGGCCCCAGAGCTCACTTCTTGACTCACCCACCCAGCAGCACAGGCCCCCAGCAGAGCCGGCCTACTGGCAGCCTCTGGTCTTTGCTGGCGAGCGAACAGTTTTCCTGATAAACTAAAGCAAGTTAATGTCACACTTGGGGTAGAGATTAGCTGTCTTACTATTTTGTGGGGGTTGAGATTAAATATCTGTTTCCTCTGTAATAAATTTGAGGTTAACGATGACATTGGGGAGACGTTGTCCTCTTTCTTTTCTGTGAGGTTTTTGCCTCAGGGCCTGTGCACTCACCACAGAGGGAGAGGTACACAGAGATAGTGAGAGGGGGATGTGAGAACTCACCCCCTAGGAGGAGGGTCACTGCAACCCCTTCTTTCTTCTCCTCCTGGGATCTTGGGCATGCATGCACATGCTCCTAGTATGAGCTTTAAGTCACCAGGTCTGGGACTCCAGCCATGGTCGACTACATGGGAGCCCAGTGATGTACCCATTATGAAATCTGCTGGTCCTGGGAGAGAGAGACTTCTAATAGGCTTCAGCCAGCCCCAGCTCATGGGCATGCACATGCCTGCTTTGTTCAGAGACCTCCTCTGGACATGGACCTGGATCCTCCCCATGTGGGTCAGCCCTGGAGAGTCCTGTGCTGGTGCGGCGTCATTGTCAAGGTCTTAGAAAAGAGTTCTGAAGCCAGGCTGGTTCTTGAAGAAGATACAAAGGAGTGAGAGAGGCAGAGAGAAAGAAGGCAGCCTTCACGTCAGGAGGGAAGAAGAACACTGAATAGGGAAGCTGAAACTTAGCCCTGCAAGACCTGGAATATTCAGTTGTTTATTCTGTCTTCCTGCAACAGTCTTGGACCAGATGTGAGTAGAATAGGAATTAAGCACAAGGACACATCAACGGACCAGAAAGTTGCATTTTATACGAGTTTTATTGGTGGGAATTTGAAAGGATGCAATATGAAAATTGTCACGGCATGCACTCATTTAAAAACCCATGTGACTATCCCTACATTTGACCTCTTTACAATTTAGGGAGTCCTATCATCTCAAAGCCAGCAGTGGGAGGGAATCACGTGTCCATGATGAGAAGACATTTTTGATTAAGTGGAAAAAGTCACAATCTTCCGTCCATAATCCAAAACCCACACATGCAGTCTCTTCAAATGAATTATGTCAACTCTTGCGTGCTATTTTAACATTGATGGTTGTTATCATTTCACACGTTTCATTTTTTTACATTTAATAACTGTGTATCGCGACAGTATACCAAATGAATTTTCCAATCTGGTAACATAGTCATCTCTGCATTTTTTATGTTACATTTAATCACATATAGCTTTACGACATGTAACATTTCCTTTTCTGGCACGATTAACACACTATGCATTTATTAATGCGCTGAAAAATATACCTAAAAACCAGTTACTTCGGAAAAGTATGAGTAATGATTAAAAAAAAAAAAAAAAAAGAGCCAGCTCATGGCCTGGTGGTTAAGGTGGCTGGATCTCACATGGCTGACTACACAGTTCAAAGCCCAGACCTAGTGGCTTGATAGACATGCCAGCATGTGTATGGTGCATGCCCCAAATCCCAAATGGAGGGAGAAATGGAGAAGTGACTGTGATGTGAACACACCTTCCTAGGGGTTGTTTCTTAATTTCACTCTCTTTCTCTCTCTCTTTTTCTCTCTCGTTGAGTGCATGTGCCCTTGAGCAAAATTTAAAAAAGAAATAGAAAAAAAAAGAGAGACCAAACCACTGCACTGACATACCACTCCATTTGATCAGGGGCATTTGCACCAGCACATGTTCAAGATGCCACTAAAAAAATAAAACGACCCCATAAACACATGTAAATCCAAAAAGCCATCAGGCAAAGGAAATAGGAAACTTGTCAGACTTGGCCAAGAGATCCTTTCTGGTGGCAATACAACGTGAGTGAGGGACGGTGGTGTTCTTTCTATGAAGATAAAAGTTAAAACAGATGGGACCAACAGGTGGTGTGGTAGTTAAGGTGCTAGATCCCACATGGCTGACTGTGTAGTTCAAGCCCCAGACCTGGTGGCATGAAAAACATGCCAGGCACATGTGCATGCATGCCCAAAATCCCTAGAGGAGAATGGAGGAGAAGGGACTGCAGTGTAGCCATCCTCCCTGGGGTCCATTCTCTTTGACTCTTGCAATTAATGCCTCACCAAGTGGTTTTTTATTAGGGCCAATCTCCCCACACCTCACACCCCAGCTGCTAGGAGTCTTGGTTGTTCATGGCTTACAGCTTCCTCCCCTTTTCTCACTTTCCCTCTCTCTGTCTCTCTGGCAAGCGCATGTACCCTATAGTAAAAAACTGAAAAAAAAAAAAGTCAAAATAGGTGAATGAGTCTGGGCATTTCACAGGGGAGAGAGAATGGTGGCATTTGTCCAACCCATGTCTGAGTATTGTCCATAAACAAGTCAGTTCACCTTCATCCAAGAAACAGAGACCAAGACTGGAGGTGGCTGGGCCAATGTGACATCTTTTCTATGAAAAAGTGTTGATGGCTTCTCCGGCTCTTCCTCGTTGTGGGGAAGTAATGAGAAGAAGAAACAGAAAAGAAATGAACATCTTGGAAGTAAACAAAAACCTCTAGCTTGCTTAGCGAGGACAAACCAGGACTTCTGTAAGCTCTGATATGCAGTAAAGGTGTTTTAAATAACTAATTCTACAATGGGTTCCCCATTCTCCCAGTAAAGTACCATCTATAGTAGTTCTTTTATCTTTTTTGGGGGGAGAGGTTTTTGCTATAGGGTGTCTGCACTCGCCAGAAAGACAGAGAGACAGAAAGTGAGAAATTACCCCCCAGGGAGGATGGCCACGCCACAACCCCTTCTCCTCCATTCTCCTCTCTGTGTCTTGGGCATGCACGCACATGCGCCCTGCGTGAGTTTAAGCCACTGGGTCCAGGACTCATACCGCAGTCAAGTACATGGAGGTCCAGCAACACAGCCATTATGCCAACTGCTGGTTCTGATAGTTCTTTTAATTAAAAAAATCGTTATGTCTCCATAGCACACAATATAGTTTTTCAAAAACATGAATTACGTTATCATAAAAGTAGGGATATTACTATATGTTGTACACCTTTTCCAGTGGAGAACTTTACATTCTTTTTTTCTTTTCCTGAGAGTTTTTTGCTAGAGGGTGCATGCACTCGCCAGAAAGACAGAGACACAGAAGGCGAGAAATCACCCCTCAGGGAGGATGGCCATGCCACAATCCCTTCTCCTCCATTCTCCTCTTGGGATCTTGGGCACGCATGCACACGCGCCCAACATGAGTTTATGCCACAGGGTTTGGAACTTGAACCATAATCTCTTCTCCATTCTTCTCTCAGGATTTTAGGTGTGTACGCGCACACTCCTGGCATGAGTTTTGAGCCCTAAGGTCTGGGACTCAAACCACAGTCTAGGACCATGTGGGAGTCCAGTGCCTTAACCACCACACTACCTGCTGACCCAGCATTTGAGTCCTTAACTCAGCAGTCTGCTTCTCAATTAAGGCCCATCGTGGCTGCCTTATCACCCTCCACCCACCCCTGATTGCTCTGTCTCACTCTCTATTTTTCCTGTAGCACTGATCAGTTTCTAATGTACCATGTAATGTAGGGTTTGTTGTCTGCCCCTCTCATTCCCTGCCAGACCGTTAGCCCCATGAGGGTGAGGGCTTCCCCCGTGTGTCTACTTTCTGCACTTAAGCAGTGTCAGGCATATGATGGCTAATACGTATTTGTTACATAAATGTTGTTAATGAAATTTAAAATTTGTTAAATGTCTTTTGGATGTTTTAGAGACAGAGAAAGAAAGGGGGGAAAAAGAAGGGAGAAGAGAGAAAATGGAGAAAATACAACAGACTCAGAAAGCAAGGGAAAGAGTAAGAAAGAGAAGAGAGTGAAAGGGAAGGAAGAAGAAAGGAGAACAGGAAACAGAATAAGAAAAGAGAAAAGTAAAAGAAGGAAGGGAGGATTAAGGAGCAGAGAAGGCAGGGCAGGAGGAAGAGAAAGAAGCAGAGAGAAGGAGAGAAAGGAGGAGAGAGAGAAAAGGAAGGGCTCTCCTAGTTTTGATCTCAAAACCCAGAAACTTCAGTTTATAACGCAGAAACCTCATGTAATTTCTCTTTTCCTTCAGATCAGGGAACTAAAAGGCTCCTGGTAGCAGGAGCTGTTGGATAAGGCACTCAAAAGGAACCAGTCTTACCATTTTGGTCTGGGTCGTAGAACGAGACATCTCAGTGATTTCTGTTTCTGCCCCTTTCCGTGTTCTTCTGAACCATCTCTTATATTCCATTCGTACCTGGAAGTTCAAGGAATATTGAGCTTATGTTACACTCAGAGCTTGGTTCATTAGAAAAGACCCTACAATGGAAGACAAAGATAAAGACACCACACTTTACTCTCTGCTTCTTTTCACTAGTTTTCTGTATAATCTTGACCATGTTCATCTATTTATAAACAAGAAAACCATTTCCTTTTCTCTCTCTCTCTCTCTCTCTCTCTCTATCTATCTATCTATCTGTTTGTTGTGCTTTTCAAGCTACCAGGTCCAGGTCTTGAACTATGGTCAGCTAAATAAAAATTCAGCACCCTAACCATCACTCCACCTGCTGGCCCTGGTCATGCTGATCTTGATTCATTTATGTAGGGTCAAATTTATCAGTTGTAGAAAAGGTGTATACTAAACATTGGACACCATAAATGTTAGACTTGATGGTGTTGACGATGATGGTGATGTTGTTGGTGGTGATGGTGTTGATGGTGATGGTGGTGTTGATGGTGATGGTGGTGTTGTTGGTGTTGGTGGTGATGATGATAGTGGTAGTGGTAGTGATGAAACTGGTGGTGGTAGTGGTAATGATAGTGGTGGTATTGTTGATGATGGTGGTGATGGTGGAGGTGGTCGTGATGATGGTGGTGGTGATGGTGGTGGTGATGATGGTGGTGGTGATGATGGTGATGGTAATGAAGCTGATGATGGTAACAGTAGTGGTGAAGATGATGAAGGTGGTAATAATTAACTATGGTGATTACAGTCATGATAATGGTGACAATTAAGGTGGGGATGTGATGATGGTGGTGGTGGTAGTGATTATGATGATAAACATCACCATTTATTGAACTCTACCTATGCTCAAAACCTTTGAAATATCTCATTCAATTCTTACATAAATTAACGAGGGAGGTATTTCTCATACCCCAATTAAAGGTGAAGAAATTGAGGCTCTCAGAGGTAAATTGATTTGTCCAAGATCACAGAGCTAGCACTCAAAACCTTATCATTTTTACTCCAGATCCCAACCATTACACTAAACCATCCCTGCAATGCCATGAATTGAATTTCTTAAACTTCTTTAATATGTTAAAAGTGACATTTAAGAATTTAATGTTCCGTGTCATTTCACCAAAACACTTAAGCTGTGTTTTAGTTCTTCTGTGAGTGAGGAGCACTAGGTGCTAGAAAAGCACTAAAATATGGAAATCAATGTCTTGTTAAGATGATCTTCTGGCTACTGGCGTCTTAACCACTAGTAATTCTCAAGAGGAAAGGAAAAAGACAGGAAAACTGTTACTGGTTTTCTACAGAGAGTAAAATGATAATAAAACTCATCCTGATAACTCAGGTGTCCAAGAATAGTGCTCGGAAATGTATATATACTGCTTCATTTAAACCCTCAACCATGCAAGTGGGCGTTGCCACATTTGCAGCTGAGACAACTGAGGTACAGAAAGGGTCGGTAGCCTGCCCAGGATCACACAGCAACCTACTCTAGTGGAAGAAATGGGATTAGAGTTGAAGTTTCTCTGAGCTTGTGATAGATTGGGCCAAATATTCCCACATTACTCTCTACAGGGCACCTCAATACAGAAAGATTATCCATCTCCTCCCTGGTGAACTCAGCTATGTCCATGTGACTTGCTTTGACTGATGAGATGAGAGCAGAATTGATACACATCTCTGCTAATCAGAAGTCTTAAGAGAGTTAAACTGTGCTTTGTCATGGCTCCTTCCACTTCACCATAGACCATCAATATTCTAAATCAAGAGACACACCTTTGGCCCACATCCCAGAACAAAGGAAATGTGAATTAAATCATAACCATATAGTATGAGCAAGAAATAGTTATTGATATAAATCACTGAGAATGGGATTGAGAAGTGAGGGTTATTTGTTACTGCAGCATAATCTACTTTATCCTGACTGATACATACCCTTAAGGGATATGTTAGAATGGTGAATAGACAAAATCCAAAGCACATAGCATACCCAAGCAGCACTGAAGACCTCTCCCTCAAATAAAGACAACCTTCAAATACAAATATAACATCACATTGTACCCCACAAATATGTACAATTATGTAGCAATTAAAAGTAAAATTACATTAAAAAAAAGAAGTTCAGAAAGTGTAAACAACCACCCATTAGACGTTGGGGCAAAAATAATGAGCTTTACCTGCCGATTAAGGAGACAGTGTACCACAAAGAGGAGAACTCCCTGCAGGACATTGATGATGGTGAATAAATAGGCAATGACTGATCCGACCGTCTTCCCAACTTCTTCAACCACAAAAAATCCGAGGCTCCAAGAGCATCCCAGGATAAATAGCTGAGCAATGGCTTTAAATGTCATGACTCTGGGGGAAATAATGAAAGTATAAAAATGATTATTGTTTATCAAGAACTTACTACTTTTTTCAGAAACTTAGTAAGCATTAGTGCTAACCAAATGCTTTGTATGCAGTGCCTTATTTGTTTAATTTTACTTTTTAAAACTTTTTTAAAAGAATTATTTAATTTAATTTATTTATTAGTAGTAGTGTTATAATTTGTTATAGGATATGTGTGCTCACCAGAGAGACAGAGGGAAAGTGAGAAAGCAAGCCACCAAGTTTGGGACTTGAACTGCAGCCAGCCATATGGGAGTCCAGTGCTTTAACCACCAAGCCAGCTGCTGGCCTCCACATGATCTTATTTAAACCTCCCGACAACTTCATGCAGTTGAGTGACTTATGCAGAGTCACACAACTTGAGGATGAGGTAGAACTTGTTTTTATCCACTGCCACTGAGAATAAGGCTATATCTCTCTCTTGGAAATTGTTTATCTGCAAAGTCTTCTACCTGGACTTATAAGAAGAGTTGTGGGAAATGTCATCTAGAAAGTTACACTGAAAAAATTGGCTGGTGATGATTCCACAGGACCAGGAATATGTATATAAAATTTTTGTATGTTTTCTTTTTTCCTTTCCCAGGCAGAGTAGTCCTGAAGGACAAATATGTGGGCACCATTGTTTTTGGTGCCTTCTTACCTTGTGTCCTGAATGGTAGAAACTTCTTTATTGAGGGAGGAAAGTTTGCTTCTCAAAATCCACAGAGTTTGGATGTAGAACGTCAAGTTTATCTGTGGAAACAGCATGAAAGAATATGGAAGATTTACTGCTGAGTGAAGCAAACCAGGCTATGAAAGAGAGACATTGTATGTCTCTACTTAATATATACTGACTGTCTGTACTCTATGATGGAAACTCAAAGATTATAGGATATAGAGGTATGGAAAATGGTTACAGAGACTGGATACAGAGTGGAAAGAGGGTGGGGGAATGGAGAGAGTGTGAGGAAAGATATTAAAGAGAAAAATAGAGAGGCAAGACATTTATGGGGCACAGAAATGGATTATCATTTGTTGATGATAACGTGTATAGTATCTTCAACAGGACGGGTGTGGGAGTATTCACTTTACAAGCAAAGTGATATATAGTGATTTAATGTATAATAGAAATGAAAATAAAATAAAAAAAGAAAATGACATAGGATTTTATTGTGAGGCCATTATTACATCCCAACTTGAGGTAGACATAGGAATCTCTTTCCAAAAATGTACAGGCTTCAAAAAACAGTGTGAACATATGCACTACTTTATTATAGAACATATGCACTTCTTTATACAGGGTACAGTATATACCCTACAGCAACAGGAAGTTGACTAGGGTGACTATATAATTAATCATTCGAATCAGGACTCTTTGGAAGTGGAAGAGTGCCAGGAATAGCTCTACCAGGACTTTGTATCAAATAGCAGTCTCATTGCTCTTTCTGGCTGAGTAATATTCCATGGTGTACATATGCCACATTGTTCCAATCCAATCATCAATTACTGGGCACTGGCAGAAGATTTTTTAAAAATAATTATTTATTTTATTTATTATTATTATTATTTTTAAATTTTTTGCTATAGGGTACATGTATTCACCAGAGAGAGTCAGAGTGAGAGAGAAAAAGTGAGAAGGCAAGCCGCCAAGTCTGGGACTCAAACTGTGGTTGGCCATGTGGGAGTCCACTGCCTTAACCATCATGCCACCCACTGGACCCCTCAGGGAAGATGTAATGCTAAGCAAAGTAAGCCAAACTATGAAAGAGAAACACTGTATGTCCCTGCTCAGCATATACCGAATATCTGTACTCTATGGCAGAAACAGAAAACTCTAAAGGTATGATGGTAGAGAGGATAAATGTAGATACTAGAGACTAAAGGGGAGAAGGGTGGATGGTGGAGGGTAGGTGGAAGGGACTCAGGAGAAATACTTAATAAACATAAGAAGGTAAAGTTATTTGATGAAAATGATGTATGCGGTAATATCCTTGATTTGAAAAACAGCATTGGGTGCTACAGATAGGTGTAACAATTAAATGTGAATAAGAGGTTATAAAAAAAATCTCATGGGGCCAGCAGATGGCATGGTGGTTAAGGCACTGGGCTTCCACATGGCCAACTACAGTTCAAGTCCTGGACCCAGGAGCTTGAAAATCACACTGTGTGTGCATGTGCGTGTGTGCTACATCAAACCCCCAAGAGGAGAACGGAGAAGGGATTGCAGCATGGCTATCCCCCCCAGGGGGTGATTTCTCACTTTCCCTCTCACTGTCTCTCTCAGCAATTGCACCTGTCTTATGGCAAAAACAAACAAACAAAAACTCTACCAGGACAACGGGTATAATTAGGAGGTTCCCAGCAAACAAGAAAACCTTGCCACTCTGAGTGGAATAGACATTCACTAAATAATGCATAAATGAATTCTGAACTTTGAAAAGAATTTCCTACAGAGAGCCATATTCTACCAAAACAACCAGTGAGCTAAGGGGACTCCAGGAACAGATAAGGGAAGACGAGAGGGTTGACCCCACTGGGCTGTCTTTCCTTATCTTCACCACTTCTCCACTTTAACAGATAAGAAACAGATTCTCCATGCTCGGCCAACCCAGGATGGACATGCCCATAAATAACTATCACCTACCAAGATAATGACAGCCACCGGCCCCATGAAACTCCAGATGAATCCTTTATCAAGCTTGAGCCAGCAGCTGTAGAGAGAATGATAAGCATTAGCTGTGTATTCCTCAGGAAAGGGCAGAGAGCTCAAACAGTAGCAAGATAGAGGTAGTGCCATGAACTGGGTAGTTTGTAAACTGGTTGCTAGAGTCAGATGTGTGTCCTCATCTGACACAGCCTGTCTCCACAGAAAGCAAGCATGCATGGATGCTACAGCACACAGGAGGAATATCTCTGATGCACCATAGGCCATGGATGACTGTTACTATGGTGACACCTAACTTATTTTAGAATTTTTTATTTTAATTTTATTGATTATGTATTATTATTATTTGATTGGCTATAGGGCACATGCACTCATCAGAGAGAGAGAGAGGGAGAGAGAAGAGGTGAGAAAGCAAGCTGCCAGGTCTGGGACTTGAACTGCATGCAGTTGGCCATGTGGGAGTCTAGCCCCTTAACCACCACGCTGCTTGCTGGCCCTGATTCTTTACATTTTAGAGATAAATCTCCACCCACTTAACCTATTCTCTCTCTCTCTATATATATATATATATATATATATTTTTTTTTTCTCTAGAGGGTGTGTGTGCTTGCCAGAGAGACAGAGAGAGAAAGTGAGAAATCACCCTCTGGGGAAATGGCTATGCTGCAATTTCTTCTTCTGTATTCTCTTTCTGGAATTTTGGGCACGCATGCTCACACGCCTGGCATGACTTTCAAGCCTCCAGGTTGTTGTTCTTTAGGGTTTTCTGCCTCCTTCATATAAATCTTAGATTCATTTTGTCAACAACCGCAAATGATTTTATGAGCTTCTGGTCAGGAATGTGTTGACTCTGTAGATCAAGCGTGGGAAGAACTGACATCGTGACAGTATTGAATCTTCTTATTCCTGAACATGGAAGAGGTCTTCATCTATTGGGATCTTCTTTGATTTCTTTCATTAGTGTTTCTTTAGTTTTTCTTATACAGAACGTGTAGAACAGATTAAACTAGACAATGTGGGTAAAGTTTTTGGCTACAGTTTCCAGCAAAGAGTTAGGACTCAATAAACGTAGTTATGATGATAATGCAAGCTATAACGAGAAGGAAAATACAAATAATAATTTAACTACTGCCATAAAAACGACCAACACAAATGAAGTATATTTCATGTACTCTGTTGCCACATGCATTATATTCTGTCATGGCTTGTGTTGGCAAAGACAGCATAACTTTTCTGAAAGGGGATCTGGCAGTTCGATTCTGGTCAAAGCAACTCTCCCCCACATTCAGCAGGCAGAAAAGCTCCCAACTTGAGTTCTATTCCAAGGGTTGGAAACTATGGCCTATGGGTCAACTCCAGTGCCCCTCTTGCTTTTGTAAATAAAGTTTTATTGAAACAAAGCCATATTCATTCATTTATCTTGGATTTTCGGAAAAGACATGACACATGTTTGCATAGAAAAAAATATATCATGACTTTTGTGATAACCCAATCTATTGCTAGTGCTGCTTTTGTATTATTGGGTTGTCAGAAAAGTCATGATGTGTCTTTTCTACACTTTTCCATGCAAAAATGCATCACGACTTTTTCAACCACCCAACGGAATAGCAGCATTTAGTAGTTGCCATAGATTGTGTGGTCCATGAAACCAAAAATGGCTACTGTCTGACCCTTTATAGAAAGTGCGCCAACCCCTGGTCTCCACACCACTCTATCCTAAGAATCATTCTGGCAAGACACAGGTTCGAGCAGGATACAGGGTATGTCTTTGACTTCAAAACAGACAGCATTAATATGTGATATTTTAGCAGTTTCTTAATATGGAGATGAAGGTGAGTTTTTCCTGTCTCTGAATTTCCTAAAGTTATATTAGAAATTTTGTAAGTACATTCTGTTAGGCTGGAGGCCTGGGCAGCTTGGATGAAGGGTCGCATGCCATGCCACAGTTGGCAGATGCAACCCGGATCTGTCATCAGACCTGTGCTGCACTTGGATTTAACTTGGATGTAGCACGTGGTGCTCTACTCTGCACATGGCATTAGACCCTACGTGGCACAGTAGTCTGCTCTCCCCCTAAACCATTACCATACATGGACTGTTTCTACCTCTAAGACACTCCCCCTCCCTATACCCTTATAAAAATCATTAAACCCCTCTCTAGGGCATGACTTCTCTGGCCCTCTCTCTTTCTCTCTGTTGGGCCAGCAAACCTCACCTGGGAGCATTCCCAATAAATGCTCTACATTTCTGTTTTCTCACATGGTCGGCCCATTCCTTACACATTCATGTGGTGAGAAAGGTTCTGGCTTTCACCAGACTGCTCAGAGACTCAACCCTAAAGATGCTAAGTACTATTGTTCAAGGGATTTCCAAAAAGGAAACAGAATTCAGGTTTCCAGAAAGACTAGTTTGTGGCATAACTTATCATTGAAAATGAGTTACGAATGGGGCTGGCAGGTGATGTGGTAGTTAAGGGTGCTGGACTCCCACATGGCCGATTTCAGTTCGAGTCCTGGACCTGGCAGCTTGCTCTCTCTCTCTCTTTCTCTTTCTGTCCCTCACTCTGTCCCTCTCTGGTCAAATTAAATTAAACAAACAAACAAACAAACAAACAAAGTGAAATAAAAAAGAATTTTTAAAAAAAGAGAAAAGAAAAAGAAAATGGGTTTGAATTCCCATCACGTATGGGCTGTAGACACCACTTCCACCATGGACGTGTACATGATACTTACTGAGTACTGGTTCCATAATGTCTGTGTCCAACAATTGCAGACACAGCAACAATCACAGCGGGGATCCCGTAGCCCAGAGGGTACACAAACTTCTTCTTGAATCTGCTTGCACTGGAGTAGTTGGCCACCTTGAGGTTTCTGACGGTCAGAAAGAGGTAAAGCCCTTCGAGGAACATCCAGGTGAAGGAGGCCAGGTACAGGTAATGCAACACACCTGCGATGACGGAGCACAGCACCTGGAGGGGGAGGAGAGTTGGGGTCTGCCGCAGAGGCCTATGCACTTGGCTATAGTGTTGCTACTTCCTGTCCCTGGGAGCTGGCCTGCCTGCAATTTTTTTTACCTCTTTTTTTTTTTTTTTTTTTTTTGGAGAAGTGTTCACTTCACTTTAGGGTGCATGCACTTGGCAGAAAGACAGAGAGAGACAGGGAGACAGAAAGCGAGAAATCACCCCCCGGGAGGATGGCCATGCCGCAATCCCTTCTCCTCCATTCTCCTCTCGGGATCTTGGGCATGCACACATTCGCACCCGGCATGAGTTTAAGCCACCAGGTTTGGGACTCAAACCGTAGTCGACTACTTTGGATCCCGGCAGCGTAGCCATTATGCCAACTGCTGGTCCCTGCAATTTTTTTAGAGGGAAATTTTTGCTATAGGGCACATGTACTCACCAGAAAGACAGAGAGACAGAGAGACAGAAAGTGAGAAATTGTCCCCCATTGGGGATGGTCATGCCACAATCCCTTCGCCTCCATCCTCGTCTCAGGATTTTGGGCACACATGCACATGCGCCCAGTGTGAAGCTCAAGTCACCGGGTCTGGGACTCAGACCGTGGTCGGCCATGTAGGAGTCCAATGACAAAACCACTACACCATCTGCTGGTCCCTGGGATTTTTTTTTTAAGTTTTGCCATAGGATGCCTGTGCTCACCAGAGGCAGATAGAGGGAATGGGAGAAATCACCTTCTGGGGGGAATGGCCATGCCACAATCCCTTCTCCTCTATTCACCTCTTGGAATCTTGGAAACAATGTTCAAGTCATTGGGTCCAGTATTTGAACCACACAGCCAGCCCCGTGGGATTCAGCTGGCTCAACTGCCACACCACCTGCCAGCCCCAGGCTCACAATTTTAATTCAGACACCTGCCACATTTTCTCAAAGGGAAATACATTTACTGGAGACTTTTGCTGGTCATTTCCGTCTGTTTACCTTATGTGTGGAGCCGGACAAAAATGTCAAGGAATAAATGCATAATATCCAGGAGGTGGTGGAGAAAGAGCTGCTTGGTTAGAGTTATTTTAGAGAGACACATGCCCTATGATGTCTCCCGGAGCTCCTCAGTGGAATTAAGCCCCAGTTGCCCATAGTGTACAAGATATTCTTCAAGGCTTGCTTGCTTTCTTTTAAAAAGGAAAAAACTTAGAAGACTATGACCCCACAGCCAGAAAGTTATGAAGGCATTATTTCGACCTCATAGCAGGATAGTGCTATGGTTAAGAGTAAGTACTGTCTTGGGCCAGCAGGTGGCGTAGTGGTTAAGGTGATGGACTTCCACATGTCAACTGTGGTTTGAGTCTCGTGGCTTCAAAATCATGCTGAATGCACATGTGTATGTGCCCAAAATCCCAAGAGGAGAAGGGATGGTGGTGTGGCCATCATCCCGGGGGATGGTGGTGATTTCTCACTTTCTCTCTCTCTCTCTCTCTCTCTGTCTCTCTCTGCCATGAGCTCTATGGCAAAAAGCAAAAAGCAAAAACAAAAAACGACTCTAAAAAAAGGTAAAAAATAAATAATAAAAGAGTAAATATAGTCTTAAGATTGATAGTTGGCCTGAAATTCATTTTTCTTCTTCTTCCTTCTTTTTCCTTCTTTCTTTTTCTTTCTTCTTTCTTTCTTCCTCCTTCTTCTCCTTCTTTTTTACTAGCTAAGTAGTCTTAATTCCAATTCTTCCCAGATATGATACTGATGCCAGTGGTGAAGGTAAAAGCTAGTGCTATTCTCTGAGCGATGAGTCCATGCCCTTACTCACATAACTATCATACTACGTCTCTATTAGAGCCTTACAACTAGATCCCTGGTTTAGAGAGGAAGTTTAAAAAGGGGAAGTTAAAAGAGATCATTATACAACATAGTGACTGTAGTTAAAAACAGATGCTATTAAAAAAAACAAAAGATGCTATTGTGTTCTTAAACATGGAAGAATGTGGGGCCAGCAGGTGGCATGGTGGTTAAGGCATTGGACTCCCACATGGTTGGCCATGGTTCAAGTCTTGGACCTGGCATGATTTATAAAAGCCCCTACAGCTCTGCCATGCTTTTTTCATCTCCCAGAGCTTAAAATAGAAAGGATCTAGGCTAGCAGGTGATGTGGAGGCTAAGGTGACTGGGTCTCACATGGCCAACTCCACAGTTCTAGTCCTGGACCCAGCAGCTAGAAAATCATACTAGGTGCATGTACATGTGTGCCCAAAAATCTTGAGAAAGGATTGTGGTGTGGCCATCTCCCTTGGGGGTGTGCTTTCTCACTTTCCCTCTCTCTGTCCACTGGTGAGGGCATATGTCCTATAGCAAAAATTAAATAAATAAATAAATAAATAAATAAAGGAAAGACTGTCACCTATACACTTGGAAGCTGTGTATAGGTGACAACAGAACCTTTTCAGCCTGAGGACGGGATACAGACATTCTGAAAAATTGTTTGTTCACCTACTACTGGTGCATATGGGGAAAAAAATGAACGGTTGTGCTCATTTCTGACATTCTGGAGTTGATTTGCGATCGCATCTGTATTAGGCTCTTGGTTACTTGGCTAAGTGGCAAATGGTCCCTTGGAGAGTGTGAATGGTATTCAATGTCACACAGGGAGAGGGCCCAAGTGGGACTCTTGCTATTACCTATTACACCATTGCTGCAGAGTAATGCCTTCTTGTCTGCCTTCCTTGGGAGAAAACAGCCAGATTTGATGGTGCTAGGTAACTATTTTGGTGCCATGCCTACCTGAGGCTCAGTTCTGTTGATGCCCGTGAGGAAGAGGAGGTGGGCCAGGAAGAGGCAGACCGAGAGCTGCAGATGCAGGGAGGTGCTGGTGTTCTGGATGGGCCGGCACAGGAGGAAGGTGAGGGCTGCCAGGAGGAGGCATAGCAGAGACAGGCTCAACCCCACGTAGGTGATGGCGGTCAGCACAGGGTCCTCCTGAAAGCCACCAAAGGAGGAAACCATGAATACCTTCCAACTCCACAGCTGGGCTCCTGATGGAGAGTCATATGGGCATCTTAGTTCAGTCCTTGAAACGAGTGACTTAATCTCCCTGAGACTTGGTGCCCTCCATCAAAGTGGGGGTGACAGTAGCCTTTAACACATGGACCATTGAGAAGTCAACATTAGACCAACACTGCCCATCAGAAACTGGACGCATGAGCCTCACGTTAATTCAAAATGTTCTCGTAGCTATGTTAAAAGTCATAAAAAAAAAAAAACGGGTGACATTAATTTAAGAGAATATTTTGTCTAACCCAATAGGTTGGCAATATCAGTATGGGAGGGAGGTGGGTGGGTGGGACTCAAGGGAGAAATTCTTAACAGGCCTAAGAATATAAATCCCCCCTTTGAAAAGGATGCCTATGGTAATATCCTTGATTCGATTGTCACATACTGTGGGCATACTTTGAAAAACCATTTTGTGTGCTTTAGAGTTATACAATAATTAAATGTGGGTAAATTCATTTTACAAGTTAAGTGATGTATAGGGATCGAATGTATACAATAAATTAAAAAATACAATGATTTTTTTACAAATTAAAAAAGAAATCATATAATGAAAAAATTTAAAAATATTAATGTGATGTTTAATCAATGTAGATAGAACCAGCAGGTTCTCTCTCGCTCTTCTCCAATGCGCACATGAGTCCTACACCAAATTTAAAAAACTAACAGTAATAATAAAATAAAATTAGTAATTCTTAAACCACCACAACAAAATGATTAATGAGGTACTCTACACACTCTTGTGTTTTTTATTGTAAGCCCTTGAAATCAATGTCTATTCTACCTTACAAGACGTCTCCATTTAGAGGCGGTATTTCCAATGGGGAAAGTAGAATACGGTCCTACCAAACATATTGGTACACGTCACAGAAAAATATTTGAAGCTGCCTCCATTTTTACATTGAAACCCATGAAAAGGAAATGAAATGAGAAATTCAGTTCTTTGGCACGAGACACACCTTAAGTGGCCAGGTGCCACACAGAGCTTGTAACCCTACTGGATAGTACAGCATGCAGAAGTAATCTCCATGGAGATTGGGATCTTTTTTCATCTGTCTTATTCCCTGTTAGATCGACAAGGCCCAGAACAGTGCCTGACATATGGTAGGCGACTGATACGTAGTGGTTGGATGAAGGAAACGAGGCCAAGCATAGACAGGGACAATTGGTTGTTAGATAGTAAATGTCCAGTAAAGAGAAGCAGAGAAAGTTCATTCCATTTCTTTCATTGTGAATTGTCCTAGACATGGCCGGGACCTGGGCAGGTCAGAGGCTACGTTGTGTAACTGGCAGTTCATGCTTTTTTTCTGGTCTGATCAGGGGAGGTTATCTGGAACTCTCTCTTGTAGAGTGTCCCATAACTTTTGATCCCAGATTCCTCTGGACCCTCTTTGCAACGTCTGAGGGCTTTCTTGTTAGCTTGCACTCTGCCTATGCCCATGGCAGTGTCAGATAACTGACACCCCCTTGAGGGACCTCTCAATGAATGTCTAAAGGAAGTTGGTGTATAAATACCCCAGCTCCCTCGCCGTCCAGTCAGAATGACTCTGAGGCAGGTGTTCTACACTGACTCCCAGAATCCTCCATTGCCCACAGGGCCAACAGGCTTGACAGTGCTCTCTGCACTGGTTTGGACCCTTTTCCATTTCACCGGCGTGTCCTGGAATCACTTCTCAAGTAAGCTACTACCTGAACTTTATCTCCGAGTCTTTCCTAAGCTGTGCAGAAGGTGATGCAGTCATGGTCATGGGAGGGGACCATGGATCTCGGTACCTTGGGGCTGAGAGCTATGAGCACCGCGAAGCTGGACAGGTGGAAGCACTTGCATCTGGTGTAGGAATCGTTGCTGTCCACGTGAAAACAGCCGTCGGTCGACCAGCCGTTCCTCTCGGCCGATCCTTCCCAGTAGACACATAAATGTTTTCTTCTTGCACCACCGGGCTGGGAAGAGAATAGGGTGAACGTGGGTCTCTTTTGGGTTTTGTTATTTCAAGTTTATGTGCTAATCACCACGCACTGTGTTGGAAAGGGGACTGGGAAAGTGCTGGCTGTTCTTAGTTTCACATCAGCACATCTGCTGTGCTGGCTGTTCTTCGAGTAGTCTGCCCTTCCCACCGCTCAAGGATTGACCCTTAGGAACTGCTTCACCCAGGCTGTCTGCTGTTGGTAGAACCAACAAGAGACATTACGAGAGATGATTGGGTGGGAGAGGAGACGAGTCAGGACTTTCTTCCTGACACCCTTTTCTTCTGCAGGTTGTCTCCTCCTTCCCTCAAACTCCCACTGGGATCAATAATCCTGGCTTGCCTCTGGGTGTCTTGACATTTTTGTAGTTGTTTTTGTTCAGTGTTATTGAGGTGTGATGGACAGATAAAATTGTACATATTTGGGACCAGCAGATGGCCTGACGGTTACATCACTCGACTCCCATGTAATCGACTGGCAATTCGAGTCCTGGACCCAACAGCTTAAAACTCACACTGGGTACGTGTGTGTGCATGCCCAAAAATCCCAAGAGGAGAATGGAGGAGAAGGGATTGTGGCATGGCCCTCCTCCCTGCGGGGTGGTTTCTCGTTTTCTGTCTGTCTCTCTCTGTGTTTCTGGCAAGTGCATGTGCCCTATAGCAAACATCTCTCTTTAAACAAATGATACATATTTAAAGTGTATGATATAATGTTAACATATAGGTCCATGTATGTATGACTACCACAATCAAGTTAGTTGTAATTAATGTAGCCATCACTCAGGTAATTGACATTCGCCTGTGTGCGTGCATGTACACACATGTGTGTGTGTGTGAGATAAGGATAGTTGTGGTCTATACTCACAGAAAGTCTCAAGCATATAGGGTGGGCCCCATGACCTAGTGGTTAAGGGAGCCAGATCCCACATGGCTGACTTCATGGTTTGAGTCCTGATCCTGGGAACTTGAAAAACACACTGGGCACTTGTGCGTGCACGCCCGCCCCAAATCCTGACAGGATGAAGAAATAGAGAAGAACTTGCAGCATGACCACACCCCATTAGGAGGTGCTTTCTCCTTCTCTCCCCCTTCTCCTGGGTCTCTGGTGAGCACATACTCTGGCAGTACAAAAAGGAAACTTACAAGTATACGTTATTGTTATTAACTATATTACCATAGTGTACATTAGGTCTCCAGAACTCTTGGTAACTGCCATTCCGCTCCCGCTGCTGCGAGCTTGGAGTTTTTAGATTCCACATATGAGTGGACCCACGCTGTATGTTTTTCCCTGTGTCTGCCTTATCTCACTTGACAAAATATTCCTCTGGGTTCGTATGTTTGCCAAAAGACATAGGATTTACTTTCATGCATAATAACTTTTAATATTATAATTATATATACATAATATATATACTATGCAGTTCTCAGCAGATGACTATACATGATATATAGTTGTTAAATAATATATATTTATCATAATACATACTTATTATATAATACACATTAATGTACATGTTTATATATGATTTATGACATACATGTTTATGAAATATATATTAAATATATTACAAATATAATATTTGAGATATATGATATATATATTATATAATTATATTTAT